AGCAAGTATCTGGAATGCACTTGTGAACAATAAATCGTCTGCGAAACATTGTCTAGTAGAAAATGTCGGACCATTATGTGCTTAATGAATATGGAAATATATTACACCACAGGTTTGCATTGTTTGTTAGTGAAATCTTGCTAAATGGTTTCTGATCTATTTTTTGCCTTAAATAATACAAATTTGCTAACCGCTTCTAACTTTAGCGGTTCTGTGAGACTATTGTCCGTATAATCAGATACTATGTTTGATTTCCGAGCGACTACATAATAGAGCTAGCCCCATTCACCTCAAAATAATAACGGTTTCAGGTTCGTAAGTAAAAGACTCTTTGACTTGTGCTTACAATTACAGTTTAAGGATAGAAAGTGAAGCGTTCGAGCATACTAAACACTTCGGTCATTCTGCTATTTGTATCAGACTTAGTAGACTGATTACTGACGAAATTTCCTATGACACCTGCCAACTGAATTAATTTCTGGCAAAGATATGTTATCCGGCTATCAATCAATGGATAACACAGTCGTTCACTCAGTCCACCTCTATGGTTGAAACGTGGCCATCGAAAGTGTAAGGTATGAAAAGGTCAACTGCCTTTGACTACAGATGTGTGCGTTCTATCTCCTGTATTAAGTGCTTTAACGCGATATGTAATGCTTAAGTTAGACGTAGTGTTAGGTAAAGAAGACAAGTCAGTCGATAAGGTCATGAAGCTACATGGATTGGGATGCCTAGAATACGCGAAGAGCATCCCAAGCCATTCCTTTATCGACAAGCAATATTAGCTGACGTGGGATTTTATTGAAAATGAGTGGTCAAACTAAATGTTACACCAATCTATAAGTTCTTTGACCGTTAGCTTGAGCCATATGTGGAGGTGTAGACTATCTGGTGGGGATTTCAAGAACCAATCAGGCCACTCATTAAGTGAAACAAACAATCACTTTATTCTTAGTCAGTCTTGTTTAATTGTAAGTTAGGTAAAAACTAATTTTTTTAGCTCAGTTAAAAACTGCGTCACAATCAAGTGACAAAAAGCTGGTAGTCCCAAGCTTATTGTCTTACGTTTGGCTTAAACCCAGTTACTCGTGTGTTTAAATTCTACTGCACTCAGCAAATTTGGTCGACGAAGTGGTGCTGTTATCTATACCAGAGTAAGTATGGATTGCCAGCTAATACTTTAACTTGCATATTAATATTGTTTTAATAATAAACTTATCAGACAATGCAAGGTGCTTTCACAAGCCTAGATATGGAGTTTCGTGTTACGGGTTTACAACAGTGGAATCTGGATACTCTGTTAGACTAATGAAATCAAATAAATGAGGAGGACATTACCCATCAGGCTTTATTCATAAATGTACGAATATCCATAACAAAGTCTTGGTGGTACTGCCATATAAAGAAACACTAGAGGCCGTACATAGAATTCCTAACTCACTCAGAGTCAAACTTTTTCGACTTAAGGATCCAATAGATTCAATTAGAGAAAGTAACTTAATTTGCCAAGTACCATGCAATGACACTGACGTTAATCACGTATGTCAAAGTAATAGTTTTGACATTTGTAAGATCTCAGCAAGATTGAAATGAGTAATTCCAACGTTTCGTTCGGCAATCTGGTCCGAACTTCTTCAGGGAAATTAATCGAAATTAACATAACAGGGGTTTATATATAAAAGAAACATCACTTGTTTTTAAAAGTTTGTCCAATCATGAGTCATTCAACAAGTATCAACAAGTATAATAAACAAAATTTTATGAGCTGTGATGAAAATGTGACCTCGGACTTACAAATATTGGTCTACCTTTGTTAAACACTTTAAACAGTGTGTATGTGTGTGTGGGTAAAGTTGTAAAACATTTCTTAACGTCTCCATAAGGAGATATGGACAGTCGATAATTTTATATCCATTATTTATTTATTTATCAATAAGGATTTCCTATGCATCTGCTAACATCACGCCTTCATGTCTATTCAAACTGTTAGTATCTAGAATTTTATGATTAGACGTATTTTCAAAATTATAGTGTTTAGGATTAGAGTTTAGTAGAAGCACCCTGTCGGACTTATTGCTTTGTCTTCTTTCTGAAGATTGAGCTGCTTCATTCGACCTACTGGAGTTGTCAGGTGACTCGACAGCTACGGATTTAGGATATGCATTCTGTTACAGACAAAGGAGAGTGAAAACACGATGATTGTTCCAATTACACAGTTTCTTTGTTAATTTAATTCGATTGCAAAATAATTCAAGTGAACTGTCGTCAAGATTTGACAGAATAATTCTAAAATATTTGGGCGCCGAGTGAGTTAGATCAGCTAGATACAACTAGAATGATTAGCCATAATAAATTAAGTAGACTGGAAGAAACCTCTGCCATTATATGTAGTTACGCTATCCTGGAATCTACTTTAAAACAAGTAATGAAAAGAAGTGTTATGAGATTAAGATCGATTGACATGTACTGGTAAAAAAATAATTAAATGAAAACTAGTGAGGATTCTCAAAATCTAGAGGATAACAAGGAGTGAATACCAGTAGTCTTCAGTTGCTAAGTCTTACCATCTCAATTGCACAAATCAGCCAGTTTATGTTTCATTGTGTGTCTCGTATGGAGAGTCAAAGATTTTATTGACTGATGTCATGGTTTGGTCTAACTACTTCCAGCTATTTACCAATTGTCTCAATTCAGCTAACATTGTTCGGTAAGGGACGTAGTGGATCTAATTGCATTAGACATTTCTATGCTACCTCAATCGATGAAGCTTCACAACCACCTCGATTGACCGTCTCGTCTTATTTGACATGACACCTAACCTCATTGTTACTGACCTTATTACTCCACCAACCATGAGTGATAGGATGAAGGTACTTGTGGTCAAACACCACTAATCCTCTCACATGTCCCACCATCAGTCTCCATGTCTGCCAGTCACAAAGTGAGACGGTGTGAAATACTACACAGTACACATGTCTTTTGATGGATGACTTGGTATCGCGCCGTTACCATGATATGATGCAAGCTGGTAAATTCAAAATGAGACTTTTGTATTTTGGATGAAATTTCGTCGATGACTGGTTCATTAGAGATAATGCGATCCCCCAAATAATTGAGGTAGTTAATGCATTCACTCATTTCCCCACGTATCCTTAAACTGATAGTCAGTGAGAACTCGTCCTGCAGTCTTATCTCATAGATAATTAGGGAGTATATCATACCAAAATACTGGGAAGACTGAACTTAGCGCTATTATCTTAGGTGAATGTATCATCAATATATTCTGAATTGGTAAAACTTGTCCATGGTAGCAGTTCAAACCCTGAAACGTTGATGTTCACCTAGTCCACGCAACCCGGAGTTCTCCTTGCTACAGATAGTCAGTTTCCATTGACTGCGCTAGTGTGATTAAAGTACATGAGCCGGTACAATATCTTTCTGCATATTCTTTTCACAACCAGACGTTATCACAACACTTCCATCAACTAGACCTATTGTTAAGTGATCCAATTTACCACGTCATACATCAACACATGAATTCGGAATATGAGTTGTCAAGATGATCGATTTAAAATAATATGGTGAAAATTCTTGAAAAATACTATGGGTGACGAAGAAAAAAAAGTAGAAAAATTAATTTTGGAACTATGGTGGAGACAGAGTGCATATGCATTTGTCCAAACAATTATAGGTTAAAACCAATCATTGCTCAATCCGTCCAACAATACATATCATGTAAGAGCTTTCAACTTAAAGATATATTTGTTTATTTTTATCTGATGTACACAAGGAACTTACTTGGAGAGAGTGACTCTCGTAAAGTTTGACTAATTGAATACTTCCATTTTCATTTCTATAGAAAAGTAGAATTAGAGAGAGTGGATCTCTTCCACTGCACCGATCGACTTAAAAAATACTACAGCCTGTTGCACATTTGTTGCAAGATTTGGAACTAACAAATGAGATCTCAATATATTATTGTCATCAAAAATTAAGTCACTAAATTGAACGCTAGGCATTATCTGTTTATATTGCACTGTAGTATTAAAAACATGCGATGTGGTCGGCATGGGAATGTATTGAATGCTAGGGGCAAACTGTCTGATGATAAAATACTTGTGAACTCGGGGGGTGGGTTTCGTGGTTGTTTCTTGACAGGGGGGATTTGTAACTGTATTTCAGAAGCCCAGAGACCCATTGTGAAATTGGTTACTTCTTACGATTTCTGTTCTTCTTTTAGGACTTTTCGTATCTGCTCACAGTTGACATATTAGTGCGCACATATTATTGATGAATTGGAATAAAACTCACCAAAATATTGAAATTTGTCACGTTTACTAACACTAAACTTTTCCCAAAGTAATATTTGAATCTGAAACATAGGGAACGCTTTCTTTTAGTGCTCACCTTACGCTTTTCGACTGTATTATTCTCTCTCGTTGTAAAGCTAATTAGATTTTTTTTGTTTATCATTAACCTCAGAACCTTGGCAACTATGATATTTTTACACTTTCCTGATGTATTGTTTGTTGACGTTGGAGAATATTTTTGATGAACAAGGTTTTTTTTGATCACATTTCCTGAGAAGTTAAATAAAATTACACGCATTACCGGACATTGCTTATTTTAATTATCATCCGTTTCATGGTTTTTATGTTGATGATTATTCGGCTGTGCAGTGGCCTAAATGCTCATTTCATATATACTTCAGTTAAGAAGTGTGAAACAGTTAAGAAAACAAACATGAGGATACCTAATAGATTTTCTATATTTCCTTGTTTACTCATTTGTGTTGCAATGCACTTTTAATAATTTTCAAGCGCCGTTAGAAAAATATGCTTTTTTATTCTCATAGTTGATCTTACCCAAAATAGAAATGCCAAAAACTTGGGTTATAAGAATGAAATGATACAAAACAATACATTTAAAAAAATTGTTGCAACTTTATCCCTACAGCATAATAGATTTTATTTTTTTTAATTATTATTTTCCAGTTAATTATGTACGAGCTACTTGAGTATGAAGCCTCTATTCTTGTTGATGTTCACCACGAAAACTCATTGTTGGTCCTTGCTGATGGTTTAGGAATGGATGCTATTGTTTATTCAACAATCAGGTTACATTCAGATCCTCATAACTTAGTGCTTGTCTCGAATTATCGTCTTCCGGAAGCTCGTTTCTTAATAGGCCTTTTGGAACAAAATGGAGCATTGCATCCACCTGGCATAATTACAGCGGAGGTAAACAACAAAGATCGTGAAGCTATTTACAAACGAGGCGGTGTGGTATTCGTCAGCTCCCGCATACTAGTTGTAGATCTCTTGATGGAAAGAATGCCTGTATCTTTGGTGTCTGGTGTTCTCATTCTTCGAGCACATGAATTACATGAAGCATGTCAAGATAGCTTCGCCATTCGACTTCTTCGAGAACGCAATCCTCAGCTATTCATCAAGGCTTTCAGTGACAACGCTTTATCTCTCACTTCTGGTTATAATCATGCAGAAAGAGTTATGACACAGTTAGGTATTTGTAAACTTGTTCTTTGGCCCAGGTTCAATGTGCAAGTTGTTTCGTGTTTGGATGAAAGTCAACCTGAGGTGGAAGAGATTCGCGTAAGACTTTCTAATATACAATATTTTCAATGAGTACATACATGCACAAACTAGTTACATTTTTTGGACGGAATATATTTTTGTTGTACTTTTATATTTTATTAATTTATACCTGTGGTGATTCTAAATTATGGAGTAAGTTTCTCATACTTTAACTTATAACCATAATTTTTTCACTTTATTTTGAGAAGCATAAACACATTGCTTTGATGTACATTATTCATCCCATTAGGTAAGGCTGACTCCAGAAATGATTATTTGTCAGTCTTGTCTTCTTGATCTTATGAAGGCTTCATTAAAAGAATTGTGTGATCAAAATCCAACACTGAATACAGATGATCTCACTTTAGAAAAGGCTCTTCTACCGAATTTCGACAACCTCGTAAGTTGTTTATAATTTACTATTTTTTATTATTTCAAAAGATTACTTTAAATAAGACAGACAATGGTATACACTTATTTGTTGCGTAAATCTTTACTGAAGTAAACTTGATGATTCACACGTCTAGAGTAAACTTTATCGAATTGTTCTCTTCATATCACTTTATCAAAAATATTGTACACGATGGTGAATAACAAATGAAAGGTTGTCTGCTCAAAACATGATGACAGTTTCACTGTTCAATAATTTCTGCATGAATTCATAAATAATCTATGAATACTTTTCTGTTGAAATTGATTGTGAGAAGAAATGATTCACTTTTGTCCGACTGAAGACAACTGTAGAGTTTTCATATTGTATAGCAGTCATAACTCACTCTCTTAAGAGATGTTATAATATTCATTGTCAAACTTTTAGAAATGTATTTCTATCGTATCATTTGTGTGTGTGTGTGTGTGATTTCTAAAGAAATCTTGGTGTGTTTTATTAGAATAGGGAATCAAAACAAGTGAAGATGTAACGAAGAGTCTTTTCAATTTATCATCAACAGAGTGAATTGTGACAAAAAGTAATTGGTTATGATGTACTTAACAAGATAGTTCATGGAGTGTATAATTCTCAAAAGGGGGTGCAGAAATAATAAGATAAGTAGGCGACCAAAACGTGACGCAACAAGGTGACAACTATGATAAGACAACATTGCAACAAACATCATATTGAATTAAGTAAATAAATAAATAAATCCTTCATGGTTACGAAAAGATGAAAGTGGGGCTATAAGAAGAGTGATAATTAAACATCTGGTCGACACTGGCCACCTTATTTCTACAACCTCTTGCTCTTAAGTTAACTACAAGGCGTAAAATAACCTGCCGAAATTATTACTCGTCCTACTCATCTGTATTACTGAAACTTTGGCCATCGAAATAGAAAACCCAGACCTTTATGTGTATAGTAAAAGTTTGTCCAACCACTCGTTTCTTCATGGTCGTAATCCATGCATGCTAAATTATTATAATCCCTATTCCTATCTAAGCGCTAATTATTTCTCGTTTTGTTTATTCACTTGGTTTATGCTTCCCTCATTATGTCGATCGTTATTATTAATTTCACTACAAACAATTTCCGGTATTATCCTGCTTGTCACCTTTATTTATTTAATTCAATATAATCTTTGACAATGCTTTCTTATCATAAGTATCACCTTGTTGCATAATGTCGTAATTGCTTACTTATCCTAATATTTTTACAACCCCTTTAGAGATTTACGCATTTTATGAACTATCTTATAAAGTACATAACTAATTGTTTTTTGTCAGAATTCATATTATTGTTAAGTGCATATATATATATATATATATATATATATACGACTGTATAACTTGAGAAACTAATTCGTTGAAAAGAGACTTTGATGAATTTAACTAGATTTCGTAGGTACTTTGCATATTGGGGGAATTAGTATAACAAAAGATTCTTTGGGAACGTTGTAAACTTGAAGGAATATTATTTTACCCAAGTGCTGGTTACAGTCGGTAAACATAAATGCTAATGTTTATGAAATATGCATATTCTACGCTGATAGCTTTTTAACAGACTTGTGAGGTAGAAACTCCCATAAGCAATTGTTATCAAGTCTGTCTTCCTTAATATTTATTTTTACCAGTTTCTTCTCTTCATCTACAGGCCTAGTAACAATTTCAGACTTTATTTCTTTTTATTGATCAAAAAAGATCTCGTTATATGTTGATCCCTTATGGAATCAGCTTAGTTTCATAAGTCGACAGCTTATTGGAGATATTGCTAGTTTGCGGCGTTTACTACGTCTACTAATTGAAGGTGATGCAGTCAACTTTTTAACTAACATAGAAGATTTACGTCAGGCTGCTTTATCAAGCTTGGGCATAGGTCAAAAGAATGAACTGAATTCGAATCCAAGAAGAACTATTTCAAGGGGATGTCCTAGTTGGTTTTTGATGGATCAAGCTGATCGCCTTTTATCATCCGCCAGGTCTCGTGTATACAGTGACTACAGCAAAAGTATGTTCTACTGGATTTCAATACATTTCTTCGTCTGATTTCTGTATATACATTGTACATAGGTTTCATGTTGTTGGAGAAATACGTGACAGTTGTGTGGGGTGTCCGGGTTTGATTTCCAGGTGACGCACTGCTAAGCCTCGTCCACTTTACTAATCGGTAGTAAGCCTGGAAAAGAGGGCGGTTTGAGCGTTGGTCTAGCAACCTTACCTGTTAGAAATAACATCCTCGCCACTGAAGCTTCAAGGCTTGATACGTTATATTCCACTCAGAACGCAAGGAACAAAAAGGATATGACAAATAGGCAAACAAACAAGTATAACAACATGCGAGTGAGAAATCTGAACGTGTCAAGTTAGTGTATAGAAAGGTTGGGCGACACGTACTTGTCCGCCTTTTAGTATCCGCCCTAAAACTTGGGTTTTTTTCTCATAATCGTGACTATCAAAAGTGTACTGAAACATAGGTTTACTGTATTTAATATTTAACAATTTAGCTGACGAGCGCCTTTGTTAACTTTAGTGCGCTGAAACCTTTCTGAATATTTCATTTTTTGTTCTGTTACAAACTCTGTAACATGTTTCATAGGTTGCGTCTTATCTTCTATACTGAAGCTTCCTATTGACGGTTGCCCAGTTCACTTTTGTATTTTCACAAATGAAATGCGACTGATTTTGAAAAACAACTAGTTAATGGACTACTGTATAACTTATTTACTGATATTTTAAAACTAATTGAAGGGTGATTTTTCGAATCAGTTCTTTCATCATATATTTTAGTAAACATGCACGTAGTGTGTATTGTCCCTCATCTATGGTAGTATCTTTTGCTACTCAGAGGCAAAAGGTGACTTCTCAACCTTTTTTTTGACACAAGTGACTGTTATTTGTTTCTTCGAATTTTTAATATGAGTGAAGCAGTAAATTTGTGGATTTAACCAACCGTGTGCGTATTTATATTTTCAGCAGTATGCCACACTTATAATGACGCTAACTGACTGTCAAATTTCTATTGTTTGAAACTCAGTTACCTGGGATAGATTTTCATGTTTTTGATGTGGTCCAACTTGAATATTGCATTTTTCTGTGTCCGAGGAGACAGTCATCATTAGGGAATATTTGTTACATAGTCTTCTTTGTTAGTTTTTGTCTTATTGAAGTGTATAACGGTGTGACGTTAAAAATGACATGAATTCCTTGTCATCCAGTTAAATGTTTTCGATGCTTTTAGGGATTGGATTAGCGATCTCATAGAATGATTGCAAGATTCTTTTAGATTTTTTTAGTTTTCTGAAAGGTTGTTTAGGTGAATTGTATTTACCTGGATGTGAACCACACTAGTTGTCAAGGCTAAAGTAAGTGGAGCAGGACTCAAGCCCAAGACCTGCTAGGTGAAACCCAAATGGTTAAGCGAATAACGCCATATTTCCAAGTAGGTTGACCGGTGTTTTGAGATGAAGTTCGAAAGACGAATCCTGAAACCGTATCTTCTTCCCACTGAATTATAAGTGTGATTTGGTGAGAACGCCTTACATTAGGGTAAACACGTTGCGTCTAGAAGATGCACTTAATGTAGGCGTCCTCTTCGAGAAGAATCTTTGCGAAAATGGCTATCGTGAAATATGAGAAACAATTAATGTCAAAAGTTTAACAATAATCCGTTAAATGCAATCAGTTTTCATTCCTATTCCGTTCAGAGAGTCGATAATTTTCTAAAATTTTGGACTAAAAGTCAAAAATATGCTTTCTTACACCTAGTCTGTCTGTGAACTGTAACAGTCCAAAGTTTACCATCACTGTTTGTTAGATGAATATTCTTATTCACAAATTTATATTGAATTGAGGAAGAATTTCTGCTATGTTTCTTGAGGACATTTATGAGAATTTTTAAGTGAATTCATTCTTACTAGCTAGTATCACTTTACATTAGTTGTTAATGTACCTAATCTTTTTACCAGTTTAAAACAACGAAAACTTCCATCAAAGTTATTTATGACTTTTCCGTCTTTCTCTTTATTTGAATCCTATAGAGCTATTAAATGTTGAACTCAATCCAAAATGGAAAGCATTGCTTGAACTACTTAAGGACATCCACTCCAAGATAATTGACCAAAAGTCAAACAAGACTATTCTGATACTCGTTGGTCGTGAAAGTACAGCAAGATATCTTGGAAGATTTCTAAGTCGTGGAATACGGTCTATTAAGAAGTTTCTCATTCGAAATTCAGATTTACCTGGACTTCACTCTCATAAAGTAGTACAAAAATTAACAGATCCTGTAAGTAGTAAAATCAAACCATATACTTATATAATTTTTCATTCTTACAGTTTCAGTATATGCTTTCAGGTGTTTTTGTCTTCATCCATGCTACTGAATTTATATGTATTTAGTTGATGAACTAACTGACTGACTGGTTTCAACGGAGAACTTTGCACGGATGTGCAGCAGTTCGAGTTGCCACGCTACCTCCATGTAGCACACAAAGCAGGAGAAGAGAGCGAAGAGAGGTTCAAAAGATAGAGAATAAACAGAGAGGGGAGGCAAAAAGGATGGTAATGTGGAAGAACAATAGAGTTTTATTGGCTATGAAAAACAACAAAGAGTGAATGCATCTGCGCCAGCCACTGAGAAAAATTTTGAGCTATGTCACCAGTTGTCTCCAATCATAGGTTTTTACCATTCCGAAGACCCCGACCGGGAAGTCTACACCTCCGTACGTGGCTTGAACCAACTGTTGTGGATTTCATTGACTGATGAGGCCATGTTTTGGTTTGACCACCACTAGCTCTTTTCCAACTTGATCCTGTGTCAGCTGGCATAGCCCATTATCGAGGAAGGCGATGGTTAGGCTTACGTAACACATGTCCTGGTCGTTTCAATCAGTGTAACTTCACAACCTCATCGATTGACTTTCCCTCCTAACATCGTGCTCGATGCCTAACCTCAATGTTGCTCATCCTATTATACTACCTAACAGGGGAGATAGAACGCAGGCACATATGATCAAAGACAGCCAATCTTTTCATGTCTTCCACTTTCAGTGGCCATGTCTCCATTACAGCCATAAAGGAGGACGGAGCGAACTGCTTTGAAGTAAACACGCCCTTTGGTCGACAATCGGATGTCACGTCTACGCCAGAGTTGGCGTAATTTGACGTATGCCAAACAAAACTTCTGTATCCGTGCTGAGATTTCGTCAGCAATCAACCCGCTGGCCCTGGCTGATGCAACTTCCTAAATAATTGAAGTGGTCAACATACTCTACCACTTCGCTATCTGTCTTTAAGCTAGGAGTCAATGTAATTCAGTCCTATAGTATCATCTTACTACTAACGAAAGGGAATCGCATGCGAAACATTCGAGGATTGCAGCTGAAGGTGTTCAGAAGACTCTGCATTTTGTCAGCGTCTTCACTTAAAAGGATTATGTCATCTGGATATTTTAAGTCAACGGGATTATGCCCTGGTAGCAAGTCAATCCCTGAGTCTCTGAAGTGAGTTAGGGTTAAGTCCATTAGTACATCTATGACGAAATTGAATAGAAATGGGGATAGTGGGCATCCCTGACGGACACCACTAGTTGTCACCACTTCAGATGAAAACTCGCCATAAACTGTCACCTGGCTGACTGCATGAGTTCGAGTAGAGTGCCTTGATCAGTGCAGTGTATTTTTACGGCATTCCCTTTACAGCCAAGCATCGCCAGAGTACCTCTCGAACGACAGAATCGAATGCCGCCTTTAGATCAAGAAATATGACGATTGTCGGACGGCAGTAAGTATGTCTATATTCTGGAATCTGTTGGAGGGTGAAGATATAATCAATACACCCTCTTCCTGGTCTAGAGCCTCCTTGGTTCTCTCTCCTCCCGTTGACCACCTAGTCTACGCATGATAATTGATCCTAGAACACTATATAGTATATTGGTCAAGCTAAATCCCCCTGTGATCATCACAGGAAGATTTGTCTTCCTTCTTGTATATCGGGATAATCAATGACCTACGCCAGCCCAACGGGACCATCTTGGATTGCCGGACGTTTCCTAATACCTAAGTTTACTCAGACAGTAAACTGTTTTCACTGCCCTTGAACACCTCTTGAGTTATTCCATCAGGTCCCACTGCTTTGCCTCGTTTCAGATTAGAGACAGCTTTTGTAACCTCAATTTGGGACGGAGGACCTGTTCTTATATCCCATTCAGGGGGGTGTTGGGTGCTCGATAAGCTGAGGAAAGCTGTAAGCCAGTTGGATTACTCCTCAAAGTGTTCTTTCCAGTCGTCTGTTCTGAGAGCTAATTATGGTGCCATTTTCTCGAAGTTTGTTTCACTTATCATTTGTCTTTTGCCTAAGTAGTTGTTTGGTATTGCCTATCGCTGATAACTTTCACATCTCTTTCGCTTTTTTCACCCACCACTGTTGATGGTCGTTGCGAAAACTTCTTGTTAGTTTGCGTTCGGTGTTAGGCTTTGTTTCCACGTTCGATGCTGGCACTAAAGCGACAGATTTTCATCAGAAGTACTAAGTTGAGTCGTTTCATAATAATCTAAGTCAATGACTTTACCCCTAAACTAGTCAATTCATTCAGCTATTCAAGTCACGACTCATCTCATGTAGGAGTGATTCGCATTCACGAATTGGTTGTCAGATGATATTCAATGTATTCATCTAATGTCAATACTATACCACCCCTGGTTAGAACAGTAATTGTATTGGTTTCATGAATCATTTAAATAAAATATCAAAATTTGTTTACACGAAGTCACTCAAATGAACTACCAAACACCACTGAAAGAAAAATCTTATTTGTGGCAAGTTAATGTTTTTCTTCCCATACAAATTACTCAATAGTATTGTAACGGAAGGCAAGATACGAAAGCCAAGATTTATTTTTCATTGGTCAAACCGCTGTTTATGTATGTACAGTTTACATTCTTTAACCAATCACTGAGTGTGTGATTTTGGCTTACACTAAACGACATGAAATAGAATGTTCAAATATATATTTACAGTATTCTGTTGCTAACGCAGTATTGAACTGTGGTAATATGTGAGAATCATATTCCGTTGGAACACATTGTCTGTATCACACCACCACAGTATAATTCCTAATAATTATCATTTTAATTTTTTTTTTCAACTTTTAAACAGGTAACTAAAGTGAAACAGTCGAAGCCGTGTGAATCTTTAACTACTTTAACGCAAATGTATAAAAGCGCTCAGTCGGAATTAGTTTGTGAAAAAGATACTGAAAGTAATGAAGACAGTTCATCTTCATGTGATGAAAGTGAAGCCTCAGAGAATATAGTTGATACCGTGAAAGCATGTAGTACCCCTCTGCCTCTAGGTTGTTATGAGGTTTATGTTCATCCAAGTTTGTTAGGTTCATCCGAAGTAAAGAAATCTAACTCGCTGAAAGTTATCATACGTGTAGCGCCAACATTATCAGGTGAAGAAAATAGTCAATTCTGTGGAATTACGAAAGATAATCAAGAAAAAGGAAGTTTACTTGTCCAACTATATGGTTATCGATTGTCATATATTTTAGACATAATTGAACCTAACCATGTTGTATTATATGAACCTAGAGTATCTTGGGTTAGGGAGTTAGAAGTATACAATGCACGTCGTTCTGTTCACCACTTTTCAAAACAAGAATCCTCAAATAACATTTGTGGAAGTAACAATAGCTTGCCTCCACTAACTGTTCATTTTATGTTATATGAAAATTCAGTTGAAGAACAACGATATTTGACAAGTTTACGTAGAGTAAGTTAGTTTTTTGATTTGGTTCCAACTCTGTTACACTGTTGTTTACTAATTCATTTATGTACTGATATGATTGCGTAAATATCTGTTTAGTAGTTTCGTGTGTTATGTTGTTAGAGCTCACTTTGTACACGTCGTGTTTTTTTGTCTTTATTTACTGAGAAATATGCATGCGCCAATGTCTCATCGAATCAGTTATTATCCATTTTAGTACAGTATGGATGCAGTCAGTCATTTAATGTCATAGCTATGGGGAAATATCGTTAGTATATTATACTCGCTTATACAGTGTTATCGTTGCAGAGACAGAAACATTGTGACTCCTGATTTATGACTGTTACATCAGCAGGTGATCATCACGGATTGATAGGTCGTTTCATGTTGTTGAAGTGTAGCTATTCCTGAAAATAATTTTTTCTGTAAAATCTAACATAACTGCTGATAGGTTATTGATGAAGTAATCAATCATTCAGAACAAAAAGGAATTGCATACTACCATAGTGTCCAAGTTATACACATACTGAAATTGTTAGGTGCTAAAGTTATAAGTTCCTCTTACTCTGAGATGTGTGTATTCCAATAAATATTATTTTATCTCATGACTTAGGTGTTACTTAAGTGAAGCTTTCTCAATACGTATTCAATTTTGTGAACATTGTTTGCTAAAGATGTCAGCATCTATGGCAACTCTGTTCAAAGCTTTTCGGCTTTAGTTTAAAGTCTTTATGTGTTTTTATTCATCTTTAGCATCTATGTCATCTCGCGAAATTTGTCTTCTTAATGCCTTATTCAAATATGTCATATTTGCCAATATTAATGACATTATTACAATTTCTTGTTTCATAGGAAAAGGAGGCATTCGAATCTCTAATTCAGTTGAGTAGTACTATTGTTATACCGAAAGATGCAACAATACCGTATGGAATGAATGAAAAATCAGATTCAAATGATAATCAAATATTGCCCCGTGTGATTGTAGATATGCGTGAGTTTCGCAGTGAACTTCCGGCACTTTTACACAGAAAAGGAATAAAAGTAAGAAAAAGTTTTAAAGGAAAAGTTATTTTTATGAAGTTCGCTTATCCTATTAGAAATTATGTTGCATAGGGTTAATTCAGCTAAAACGGCTTTTGGATAGTCAGTTGACTATCACAGTTTTGAGCCAACCCTGTTTAAGAGAACTACCAGAATACAGCACTTACCAACATATCATCGACATAGCAGTAATGCGACCTCTTGTCGCCATCACTCATCCGTATTCCTCGTTATCTAAGCTTTATTCATATTTCCCTCTCAACGACATATTTACTCTATACCCAGCTTCTTTTATCCGCACAGCTGGTGTCTCACAAAATATCATAACTGGCCTTTAAAAATCTCATACACATTGGTTGGATAAGCCATACTTAACAAATTGGGTATACTGGCTGTTTGTATATTGAGCCTCTTAAAAGTTTATTTGCCTAGGAAAGGGATGATCAATATCCGTATTTCTGCAGATCTTAATGCAGTCTGGCATACCAAGAAACAGAATGGACTGTTTGAATGAATTCCAACTGATAGTCACATATGTACACTAATCAAATAGTACAGTAAGAAGTTAGAATGAATGTTAGTAAAAAGTTTGGGGATTGTGGAATAGATCAAATAAATTATAATTATATTTCAATAGTTTACACAGGATGATAACTTTTTGTTTTTTTGGTAATATTTCTAGCAAAATTACTGGCTGTGTTCATACCAACTGTTGGAATTGTCTAGTTTTTTAATTCACACATTTATGATTTGTACTCATATATATAGTTCATTTTTGTCCATTCATTTTTGTGTATCCAGAAGTATATTCTAGGTTGTTGACAGTTGTGCTGAGTTGTTACATGCATCCCGCGTGACCTTAATCAATATAGATTCTGTTATAAGTCTCTCTTTCCATTTGTTCATATTAGATTTCCGAATACAAATTGTCCTGAAGTCTTAAAAGAAACAAACATCACTTTAAATGAAACTCTCCTGTAGACCAGTGATCCAGTCTTAAAGGGGTCTAGCAAAATAATGTATAAGGAACGGGAATATTTTGTGTAACATGTAGCTAATCTTCAAATGCCTACTACTTATTTACAGCTTGCGTATAACGATGACTTCGTACACAAACTCTTCGTAAGGTCGTGTTGTCGCCCGCGTTGATTCAGAATTCCCTAGGTGAATTCAGATGTAGAGGCGAGTGACAACTTCCTCAAAACGGACTGTCGAGTGTAACAATCACACCCTTGCAACTGATATTCAATGAAATAACAAAACCCCAAAAATATCAACAAGAAAATAGAGTAACCTAAAATAGCTAAAGTAAGCACTTTATAGAGACAAAAGGAAGGGCTAAAAAAGATAAAAATTCTAAAAGATTAGTTTTACAAGTTGAATAGTAAATATTCTCAAAATGCTTGAATTGCCTAGAACGTTTTTTCAGTTTCCGGACGCATAATACCTGTCTTCCGTTGTATTAACAATACTGGGATTGACAGCGGTGTACTCAACCAGGTGGGTAAATGACTTGTGTTTATTAATTGGTTTAGATGACATAGACGGGGATACAATGTATTATGACCCAGCCACTACTTACTTCACCCCTAAATTTAGATCTTAGTGTATGCAGGGGGCACAGGGACACATAAGCTACATCCACGTTGTACAATTTGCAAACCATATTCCAACACTTTTTATCATCCTACATAATTTGTTTCCTTTTCACTTCTGCTTGATTACGACTGTCATAGCCATTCAACTGACTCTATTTTTCTTAATTGTCTTGCCCATTGTTTTTATTTGTAACCCATGGAGCGTTTAATGCGGTATATCAATTACCACCTTACTTTCGACGTTTTTCGCTTTCTGTCGATAAAAATAGTGCCAAGAGAGTATATTATGCTAATTATAACATTCTATTCAAAAACATGAAGCGGTGTGAGACCTCATCGAAATGTGTAATACGAACTGATGGCGATCACTGTTGTTGAGGTGGCTAGGACACGCGTTATTCATTCAAAACCACTGCTTTCTTTGCTAGGCAATTTTATGCTATGTAGAATTAGGCCAGAAATGTGTTAGTAGTCAAATCAAAGCATGGCTCTTACCCATCAAAAAATTGGCTGTTAGTCTATACAACTTACCAAAGTTTATTTTGGCTTACTGCGACCCTCGGCATGCTGTACGAATCACTGGTTGGAGATTGTCGAGGACATAGCTGAGAAGTTCACAGTGTGATATAGTCTTTTTAAGCATATTAAACTTATCATAATATTTATTTTCTTGTTTTTCTAAACTAACCTAGGTGGAGCCTATGACTTTGAGCATTGCTGATTATATCCTTTCTCCTCATTTATGTGTTGAAAGAAAATCTGTCAGCGATCTGATCGGTTCTCTTAATTCTGGACGACTGTTTCATCAAGCTACTGCAATGTCTCGCCATTATGCAAGTCCAGTCCTGCTTATTGAGTTTTCCATGCCTAACAAAGGTAATTACTGTTTCAGAACAAGGGTTACTCTAAATTTAACTAGCTTATTTAAGAAACTCTTAACATTACCTGTGGAACTACGAAATGACCAGTATTATGGAACCTTTAGTTCTTTGCAGTTCGTAGTTTCTCATCAAGACTCATCTCTGATTGTTTTTACCATCTATCGTATTCAAGTGGTGCTAAAGACGTATTATTTAGACGCGCGACTTGTTTCGACTAACCCTTTTGTTTGTGTTTCCACTCATGATAAAGACTTGAACTTCTGTGCTTGTGTGAATCAAGTTTCAGATATAGATTATAAGTCAAAACTTCATAGTTTTAAAGTGTGTCCAACTCTAATTCTCTTTTGCTCACTAAGGTAGATGCGTGAATAGTTAGTGAATCACTGATTAAATTGTACATTGAGCATAAGTTGACTGAAATTCTAATTGATAGTTATTAATTTCACCGGTGACAACTGACCACTCTCTACCATCGGCCATAATTATTATGTGATCACCATCATACAAGCGAATAACTGGTACTGAGAAAGTTTTTATGAATACCAATGAACTATACTTAAACGAGTCACTAGTCTTATCAAGTTATTAGTGGTTTTTTAACTGATTCAGTATTGTGAAAGGGAGTAATCAGTGCTTTATACGTCTTTATGAAGCCAAAATCGGTAGTTAATAGCTCTGTATCTACCGTGGCGAGTGTGTCTCTACTTTGAATACTTACCTATTGATGCATTGTTGAGGTCATACTCCTCTTATTGAGTAGCTTCAGTCGCTTAAGATAGAGAAAGAGATCAACGTGGAGTCTGAAAGATACATGCATCACAACGGCACAGAAGAAGAAATTGAACAGAAATAAAATGATACTGAATCGAAAAATGGGTGCAGCCCACATCCAATTGCCCAAACACATACACCCTTTCTATAACACGTCTGCATAACTATTATTGTCTTCATGGACAGAATCTCTCAATGTTTTATTATTCTACTTTAATACAGTTTCAAGTGTAAGTCATGGAAGTACAAGAGGATTCCGTAGTAATGAACCAATTGGTTTTGCCTTATATACTGGACGACATGCGATTAATCCAAGTTCAGAATTTAATTCTCATCATCTTTTGTCGAAGCTTGTTTTATTAACTATTCACTTCCCCAATTTACGATTATTTTGGAGTATGACTCCTTATTGCACTGCGGAACTGTTTGCGGAAATCAAACTCGGTCGACCGGAGCCAACTGTTGAAAAACTTCCTCAGGTAATAATGTTTCATTTCAATATGTTTATGGAAACTACTTCTGATGCTTAGTTAATTCTAACTATCAAGAATTGTAGTTCGTTTAGGTTTTCCGACTTCTAATCTGTGTTAGTCACTTTGGACAATATTTTTACTTTAACAGGATGGGGACCATTTGGAGGATCATAATATTGAAGCTGTTGATATGCTACTAAAATTACCTGGAGTGTCGTGGAAAAATTATCGACGCATCATGAATCATGTTTCTTCACTCTACGACTTAGTTTCCTGTAGTTTAGAAAAACTGACCGAAATTTTGGATAGCAGGTGAGTAGTTTTGGTAATGTGTAAATATTGGCCGCTTGTAATACCTTATCTATTTCTTATCTTCACGTATTTTTGCATACTGTGATTGAAACTGTGTTTAATTAAGAGTAAAATTTACACATTCTGCTAGAGTGTAGTTCTGTATTAGATAAATATATTTAATGTAGCTTTCTTTACTTAATAGCCTTTGAAGCATAACTCATTGCTTATAATCCTATCGAAATAACCAGACAGCTTCCTGATTTGGATCGTGTGGCCCTCATAGTGCTCAGGTTTTTATCTCCTATCACAGTTACTCTCTGCAATTCTAATAATTTATACAGCATTGGTGTTGCACAATTCATATTGCAAAGCTTAAGCGGTGGTTCGATGAAAAGAGACTTTGGTGATCGCCCTCCCTCCCTATTCACGTGACTATGCTAATGTGCATGACTGTTATTCTGTTCTGTTTTTCTCCTAGTGTTTGTATAGCAGTAGCTGACATTTTTGTACCCTAGATTACTTATTATTATTTTAAAATAAGCTTTGATAACCTGAGTGATTCCGACAAACGGGTTTGTACTTAGTATAAGTCATCGCTCAGTATTTGGTACACTGAATTATTTTGTCGAATTCTATTCATAGCCAAATTGAGTTTTTCTCTGATTTATTTTATGATTTTGAAAACCAAAGTAGTTCTGAGCTGCTTAACAATTCTTTGTAAGGTATAAAACAAACCAAATCAATGTGAGGCTATAAGAATGGTAATGAAGGGGATATTCTTCACCGCGTGAATCTCAAGATTTCGTTTTTCCATATATATATATATATATATATATATATATATATATATATATATATATATATATATATTACCTTACGGCAACCGACGCAGTGGTTTGGTGCGACGTGTTTGAACCAGGCAGAAAACGTAACCTTACCACTAAGTCATTTAAGTCATGAATGACTCTCCCATTTACCTTTTTTGCTTTCTTTCCATGTAAAGTTGAAAACTAAAGATTAATTAACAGCGCTGATTTTTAGTCAAATATGATAACAAAGCGGGTTATTGAATCACACAGATTCTAGAACAGGAACTGAAGATATAAAGATACATATTAAGCGTACTACAGAACTCATGTATAAACTGGTCATCACTCCATTTTCTAGACAGTGCTGGCCTAGTACACGCCTCAAAGAACATATTAAGAAACGATATCACACCTAGGCAATGTCATTTAAAAAGGCAAAAGAGAAATATCTTCAATCTCTAATATCTTCTGCAATGATCTACTAAGTTTTTTGACAAAACTCTCGCCTTTGTCTAAGACAAATGCCTTATGTTGCTTCAATATTTGAAGTTCCTCTTAATATCTATCTTATTAGATCGATCACGTATAACCGACCCCATATTGTATTGAAACTATAGGTCATCTAATCGGATTTCCAAAATGCTTTACTTTTCGTCCTAGGCGTCTTTGAAGGTTGCAGATCTATAGACAGATTTCGTGCTACCTGTCTTTCTGATGAGGTGGAGCAACTTTCAACTGTTGTTAAATACAGGTTCTGCTACTATATCACTGGCGGTTTGTAACCAACAGGTCTTGTAGTCTTTTGTAGCTGTTGTTTGACTATGTACCCAAGAGTCCTTCTCAGACTGTTGTATTCTGTAACTACCGGAACGAACCGATGGGCATCATGAAACCACAAAGAACTCTCAGAAACCACGTATTCGTTAGTGATGATCTCTTTAAGGTAGGAAGTCAAGTAGCTGTCCATATTTGTATTGTTTATTGAAACTATCTTTTTAGCCCTATCTGTTGAATACTAGCTATTACTTGTGTTGATTTGATTTTTAACTCAAGTTCCTATATTATTGATTTCTAGTGAATGTGCAACGAAATTATACACTTTCTTACATTCAAAGTGTATTGATTCAATGTCAAGTGCTTCAACAATTGTAGATGATCCTTCTGCTTCTGTGCAATCATCTAACCAACCGAATAAACGTAAAGCAAGATTAAATTTAGCAACTAGCGTAAAAACACGTCGCGGAAAAGGATGTGGACCTATTAAACAATCCTAATCCTGTAAAATAACGAAAAACCCCTTTTTTCCAGTAATTTTGTAAATAAGAGGAAATTTATTTTTCACTATCACTCATGTTGTATATATATATGTATATTATGGAAATAATAATAACATTTGAGTGCTTTCTACAATCTGTTGCACATAAAAGACTGAAAAAATCCTTCAGGTTTCCTTGAAAGAATTTATTCAGTTTCTCGGAATATTGACAAATATATTAGCTATTTTCCAAAAATCAGTATTATGAAGAGAATAATTCATATGATCAGCTAATTTCCAACTTATTTATGGAATGAAAAACCGTGAGATTTCAAGAAAGCTGTCAGCGTAATGTTATCACTCACCTGTGTGAAATCCTACGAATACTGATAGATAATCCCACTTAAAACAAGTTAAAGTTTGGATATCTCTTAGCTGGCTACATATGAATTTTCGGAGCATTAACTTGTATATAAGTGAAGCGCTAATTAGTTCAGCAGCAAACTGTAGACCTTTTAATGTGGACCATTTAGAATAAATCGTTATTTTGATATGCGCAGCTAGTGGCTTAGCTGTCTTTGACTACAGGTGTTTGCGTTCTGTCTTCCGTGTTAAGTGGTGTAACAGGGTAAATAATACCGAAATTAGACGTAGTGTCAGGTAAGGTTATGAAACTGCATCGGCTGAGATGGTTAGGACACGTTTTGATAATCCGGAACTACCATTTTGCTCAATAAGCAATATTAGCTGACATGGGATTATGTAGCAAATGAGTAGTTGGACCGAAACGTAGCATCAATCGATGAGGTCTTTGATTGTTGGTTTGAGCCACCTAGGGAGATATAGACTGTCTGGTTTGGGTCCTCGTGCTTTTAAGAAGCAATGACTGGAGACTGCTAGTGACATGGATGAAAATTCTTTTCAACGGCGCAGATGTATTCACTCTTTGTCATCTCCCAAAACCATTAAATGCTATTGTCTCTCCATGTTACTATTCTTTCTCTCATACAATTATGTTGATCATAATTGTTTTGAATTTCTTTTCCCTACCTTTGTACGAAACGGGGGGAGGGCATTGTAACTTGAACTATTGCTCTATGTTGAAAATCAGTCAGACATACACTTTGCCGTTCTGTAGTGAACCATTTTATATGTAGCATAATTTTGAATTGTTTTCAACCTTACCTAGATATAAGCTACGTAGTTCTAAAGTCTCAAATAGGCAAAACAACCTACTCGATATCATATCTGCACACAAGAGTTTACTTAAACATAAACAAAAAAACCTAATAAACTAATCAACCTAGAAAAAGACTCAGCTATCTCCACGGCATGCAAGCACAAAGTATCATTTAGTAAGTAATGCTGTATTTCTGTGTAACATGAAATGAAGAAGTTAACTTGATGACCAGCGATACCTAAATGGCAGAAAGTCATAAATTCTTCACAATATTGATTGATTACATTGAAATTAATTCGGTTCGAATATCGAAGCTCACTATGGGTGTGTTTCGTACAACGCATACTCACTTAAGTAGTTTCGACAGAGGTACAGTACTCTGGTTTTCATTTCTACTGAGATAAATATTCTATACAATTTCGCTTATTAGAATTATGATAGGTACTTATAAGACCAATAAAATATGTTGTTCATTTCGCCTTTTTTGAACAGCTCAGTTTCAAAGCGATTTACTTCCACTTCTAAGATATGTTGTGATCTCCTTTTTTCTGGTGTAAACTCTGTAGTGCTCTAGGTATGTAGATGAATGAACATTTGTCTATGCAGAAGAATGTGGCAGAAATCATAAATGATTTGTCCATGTGAAGACATCTATTTTTAATTTACATGGGTTTTCATTTTCAAATAATTGTTTAGTGATTAAGGTTTGCCTCTGTGAGGTGAACGGATGGATCTCTGGGCCTAAGTTGTCTAGTGGATAACTCTTTGCGTACTAGGTTCGAGCTTCAATGGGAACACCTTCGCTCATTGGGAAATGCAGGTACATCCAGATGACGAGTCCCTAGTAGTACGAAATGCGCATCGTGGATTCCACTACTAGCCACCATCCTCCAAATTGCCTCATTACTTTGTTCGATGTAGCTTTCAAATAAACAGGAATTTTACGTAAGTTTTTCTCTAAAATTTGAGCACTTTTAGCCACAGTTATCGAAGAAATCAATAAACGAAAATCAAAGCTGTTTAGTTTACATATCATCGTATGCAATACTTAGCTGGTTAGATAAAAAAAGCAAGCAATTACTGCGATGTTGCAATAGACGGTGCAATCATCTGGTTATCAGTGCCGTTTTAACTATAATAATAAAAGAAAGAAATATTGTAACTAGACTAAGCGAAGCAAGGATTCACTGCATAGAATATAATGTCAGCATTTGAAAAAGTACACTAGGAGATCTCCATCTACCTGACATAGTAATCATGGTAATTCATTTGGAATAATGACTTTGCATGTATAGCTCCAAGTGTTTAGTGAGTCGTAATTTCTTCGGAAAAATGAATAAGCTATTCATCTGGATCACGGAAAATCAATCAAACTTCTTAAAATATATTTATATTATTTCGAAACTTCAATGATATTGAAGTAATTAATTATCCCTTTCGTCATTAAAAGGGATATGCATCTGTTCTAATTTAATTTAGATTTCGCAAAATGTTTTGCCACATATAATCTAAATTTAGAGTTTTAGTATACAAATACATATTACAATGTTAGTACTTGTTTTACTTTAATTTGATATTCATCTACTGAAAAATTAAAGACTTTACATTTTCGCTCTACTGGACACTGCTGTTGATTTTCTGGTACTTCACACTAATCGGAAGTGTTATCTTAGATCGTGTCAAGAGCAGATAGAAGATCTCATTCATTTAATTAGCACTGTTGACCGCTTGTTTGATTCCTTTTTGGGGATATTATTTATCCTGGTGCAAATGTAGAGTTGTGTACATGGTTTTCGTGAAATCAGAAATTTGATATGTCACTGCGAACTTCTCAGTACATCGGATGAACTTGATTGCCTTGGTCTACTGAACGAAATGTTTTTTCGATGCTGTTTGAGCTCTATACGATTTGTTAAGTTGTTTCTGATCCATAACATCTTTCACATCCAGATGATTCTGATAGCTGGTAAGGAAATTAAATGATAAAGTGTTTAGAGAAAAGAAGTGCATTGCTAAAGTCAGAGGAAAATTAGATTAAAAGTATTTAATTTCCAAAAATAAAACCATATCCGTACACTCTTTAGTCAGAAAACTAAGAAATACATAAATCTTGAGGAACTACTGAATTTTAAAAACACACTATGTTTTACAAAGTAAAATGGGAATACCTATAAAACGAAAGAAAAGATTTATAGTTCAGGGTGGGAATGATTTAGACCTCCTCGAAGCTTTGATATTTGGTTGTGGACGTTTCGTCACTAGGCTTAACAATATTTTCAGCAGTAAATTCACTAAGAAGTGCGGCACATTTGCAAGTTGCATGAATTAGAACAAAAGCTGCACGAAAAGTTTTGCTTTCGATTAGGCTGGTAATGCAGACGTTTATAATTTCCCGAAATTATTAGCTTTCATCATTCAGCAATGGGTACTAACAATAGCTGTCTAACTCGACTGGTTACGTTGAAGGTACATGATCAAGCACCCTAGCCATTTTCGCACACTTTCATGTTACGCTCAGTTATTTGTGCGCACCCTCTCTAGTTATCTAAACAAACATCACTGTCCTACTTTTGTGACCTCGAAATATCTTTCGTATTCTGTTCTGGATTAGCTTCAAAAAGCTCTCTCGTACAAGTGCATCCGGGGTTAGGGGATATTTTGTTGCATTAGCATATATGCGTACTCATCGACATCCTTTGTCACCCCCAGGTAGCTTCTATGGCGTTCAAACTTAATTATAATAACTTAATTCATTGCCATTTTTATACGTGTAATTCTTGCAATATCCTCCAATGTTGGTAAAAAGTTGGGCAGATCGTGTGCTAAAATGCAAGGGAATTATCAAAATAGTAATCAAAAGGGGACAATTGACTGCTTTTGCAGAATACTCCTTCTTCGAAAATGTCTGGCTTTATTAGGTGGTCGGAGGCGATCGACAGGAAACCTAGGTCCAAGGTTTCCTGTCGATGGCATCCAATCATCTAATAACAACAATTCTGAGTGTACCGTGATGGAGAGGCACCTAGCATGCTGGCCACATTGCAGACTTGACTGGCAGAATTCAGTCTGCAGCAAACAAAGGACCAGACGCATGACACTAATTAGCGTTCAATCAAAATGTTCGTCTGAGATAATTTTGAAAAGAGGCTGTAGATCTCATAGAGTGAGACTGTGGCAAATAGTTGGAGACATATGACAGTCCTCACAGTTAATGTTCTACCGTGCAGGTATCAACATAAGACTTGCAATTAATAGTGCTCTCTGAGCTGGTTGGTTTAGTTGCGGAGCTCTCGTCGTCCTTCTGGACAACATCTTTAGCGCAATATTTAGCATAAAGTGAAATGATTTAAATTTATTCATGAGTGATATAATTGCTTCTCCCGGTAACTATCTTTACATATGTATTGACCATTTTCTATTGACTTGGATTTTAAACTTTCTGATCACCTGATTTACTTTTTATTAGTTGGTATATTTAGTCTATATTAACGTGTTTCTTAATCGCATTTTCGTTTGAGTACCTGGCTTCTAGGAATTCCCTGGCACTTTTGGTGTTTCCTCTGTCTAAGATTTTGACGTTATCCCAATCAAATTGATGTTCATAATTGTCTATATGCATTGATACTAAAGAATATATATCGTGTCTTTTCACGGCTGATTTGTGTTCTTGAATTCTTATTCGAAGGGGACGCCCACTTTGGCCACTGTAATGTCTGTTACAGTTCATACAGTTTATTTTGTAATTGGTATTAATTTTATCTCCTTTATCTGTTGGATCTTTCGGTTTGCATAATATAGAATTAAGCGATTTGACTGGCTTGTGTGCTATATCTATATCAAACAGTTCCAGTGTTCTAGCTGTTATTTCAGAGATATTTCTCATGCATGGTATGATGAATTTTCTTGTGGTCTTTGATGATGGTTCAACTTTAAACACTTTTTGATGAAATTTTGTGGATAACCATTCTTTTTGAAGACTGTTTGTAGGTATTTTTCTTCCATTCTTTTCAACTCTGGAGTGCTACAATGTGTTTGAACTCCTTTAAACAATGTCTGCACACAGTTTCGTTTGTGAGAAATTGGATTATAGCTAGTATAGTTGAATATTTGATCTGTGTGCGTTGATTTTCTATATACTTGTGTTTCTAAATTTCCTGTGTTGATTCTCCTGATTAAGACATCTAAAAATGGGATTTTGTTATCTAATTCTCCTTCTCTTGTGAATTTGATGTCTTCAAATATGTTGTTTTTTAATTTATGGGTATATTCTAAATCATTTCTCTTAATTATTACAAATGTATCATCAACGTAACGTACCCAGATTTTCGGTTTAATTATAGGTAGAGTTATTAATTCTAATCTTTGCATAACGGCTTCAGCTATTAATCCTGATATGGACTATCCCATTGGTGTTCCTTTTATTTGTTCACATATTTGAGTATTGAATTGGAAGTATGTTGTAAGGCATAAGACTGTCAAATACTCGTATTTTTAGAAGTCACGTATGAGTATCACTAAAGAAATCCGGTTTGGATTATGATAAAGAGATATATAAACACCTATGAACAGCATTTTTTTTCGTGATAATTGTTTATCCACATTTTTTGTTTTCCCGGTTGTACCTACGTAGTTCACCCTATTTGTTTCGTAATTAGAGCAGCTGAGCAGAGATCAGCAATATTGCTTTTGCATTCTCTTACCTCACTCATTTTGATTTCACGTCAAGTATTCCAAAATTTTAATATAAGGAAAATCAGCAAAGTTTAATCACTAGGTACTTGAATGTAACCCGGTCGTGTAATTCTAACTGTGATGGTAACGGACAAGTTAGAATTCTGTGATTTTACTATTGCTGGTATTATACTGTGTTGTATCCATAATTCTGTCTAAAGTTACATCAGTGCCTCTCGATGTTTGCCTGATCATTTCATCAACGCGTTTGTCAACTGCGAAATAAATATTTAAAGCCTGTTGGCATTTATTTTCCTCAACACTTCTAAATCACGATTTGATCAAATTGATGCCTTAGAAATTGTAATTTCGATATTAGTAGGTCAAATTTTGCAATTCATTTTCTAAAGAGATCGTTATGATCGCTTAAATATGATTCAAACATTGCGAAAAAATTAAGGTAACCCTCCGCCTTTCCTGGTGACTACATAAGCAGCTCATTGAAGATAATGGACTATGTCTGCCGTAACGTTGCATTAAGACCGATTTACTAAGAATTTTTTTGAAGGCCGAAATAATAACACTATAATGAAGAAAATAATATATATTAGGAAAAAGCTCAAGTATTAAAGTAATAAACAGTCAAGTAGTATACATACTGAATCAGTTAAAAACAATATAAACTAGGAATCATGTATAATAGTAAAACTTACTCGATAATCTCTTGCAGTGATAGACCGTCTTCTCAGAAGTCGCGATCTAGGAGCATTAATGTAAGATTTGATGTGCTCACTGACTGATGGAATATTGTTTTGCTTGATAAATAGCTGCATTCGTTGGTTTTCACTATCGAGTTTACGGTTATCCTTTCAAAACGTAAAACAAATTATGAAGACGAGAGCGAATCTCAGACCTGTAGAGAACAAATTGCGCCGAAATGTCCATTTTCGCATATGAATTAAATTCGAACTGGTCTCTGATACTTATATTCTAAACAATACCTAACCGTTTATGCAAAACTGAAGTTTTTTAAACTAAAATAATCAGTTTCTGAAAAAGTTAACTAGAATAATAAAAAAAACGGCCGAATGAACAATTTTTGCAATAAAAAGATTTTTCATAAATGAACAGAAAGCACTTCGGTTGTTGTCTTCTTAAGGCATTTTGCTAAGAAACACAAAGCACTTTAATGACTTTATGAAATTGTCATAATGAAAGGAAATTATTTAGATAGCCCACTGACTACTCCTCGCTTTTTCCAATCGACTCACCTTTGCTTGTTTACTAGTTTAATGTGATATTAAGATTGACCACATAATGTTCATATCTCCTATTACAACTCAAAATGCATGCAATTAAAAGTCCACAGAATACCACTTTACCCTATTTATAAGAATGGTGTGAAACTATTTGCTTGATTTTTCAGACAAGCACTGTGCGGAAAGCTTACTGAACATATAAGTTTTTAACTACTGTTTGACAATTTTTGGTCGGCTACCATCCATAAGCATCAATTCATTTGAATAAGAATTTCCTTTCGGGTATTCATTATTTTCCTCCATTAACAGTATGCATTTTCAACTCGGTAGCCACAGTTTATACGACGAAAGGAAAGTTACAATTATTTAACAACACACAACAACAACAAGAAAGAAAACTATTAGTACAGCCGTCAGAGCAAAATCGAAGATACTAATCTACATTACACGTTTTTGCTCTCCTTTTACCAGCCAGGCTGGGTAGTGTTCACGAGCGCGTTTTCCAAGTTGGCGCATGGTACGGCCGATGTACTCAGCTCCACAAGAGCAAGTGAACTGGTATATGCATGTTGAGGTGGCCCAATGCGACAGCTTGTCTTTCGCGTTCTGGTTGAACAGTTTCTTGCAGGAAAACGTCAGTCGTAGGCTTGCGGCGAAGTATGTTTTCCTCAGCGATTTGGAGAGGCGTTTACGAAGGATTTCTGCTTCGATATCACCTTTGAATTCTAGATTAAGCAGAAGTATTTTCTTTGGGACGGATTGGACTTGTTCTGAAGTCTTCTTCGGTTTGAGATTCTTGTCTATGAACCTGGGCGGGAAACCGTTTTCCATCAGGGTTTTTCGGAGATTACGCAGTTCTTCGATCACTTCCTCACTGCATATCTTCCGAATCCTCGAGGAAAGAGCGTGTATCAGGTTCCTCTTTCTGCTTAGCGGTACGAAGCTTTGAAAGTTGATGAATTGTCCAGTCCATGTAGGCTTTTTGTATATGGACCTTTTTCAAAGAGTCGTTGTCATTTCTTGTCAGCCTACATGGACTGGACAATTCATCAACTTTCAAAGCTTCGTACCGCTAAGCAGAAAGAGGAACCTGATACACGCTCTTTCCTCGAGGATTCGGAAGATATGCAGTGAGGAAGTGATCGAAGAACTGCGTAATCTCCGAAAAACCCTGATGGAAAACGGTTTTCCGCCCAGGTTCATAGACAAGAATCTCAAACCGAAGAAGACTTCAGAACAAGTCCAATCCGTCCCAAAGAAAATACTTCTGCTTAATCTAGAATTCAAAGGTGATATCGAAGCAGAAATCCTTCGTAAACGCCTCTCCAAATCGCTGAGGAAAACATACTTCGCCGCAAGCCTACGACTGACGTTTTCCTGCAAGAAACTGTTCAACCAGAACGCGAAAGACAAGCTGTCGCATTGGGCCACCTCAACATGCATATACCAGTTCACTTGCTCTTGTGGAGCTGAGTACATCGGCCGTACCATGCGCCAACTTGGAAAACGCGCTCGTGAACACTACCCAGCCTGGCTGGTAAAAGGAGAGCAAAAACGTGTAAACAGTTCAGTGACAGAACATCTGGTCAACTCAGGACATTCAGCGGCTTTCGAAAAGTCCTTCAAAGTAATATACAAAATTTAATCTACATTACTCAAACTCTGAAAGCGGTGTTGACGGAAATGCGTATAGCCGTCTTAGGAAGTAATAAGAGGCAAGAAAAGGAATGGCTCTCAACGGATACGTGAAAGCTAATAGAGGAAGTAAAACAAAAGACGAATCAGTGCAAAGATGGACAGCAAAAGGTGGAGTTGAGTTCAGTCTACAGTGAACTAAGGAAGGGAATAAAAAGGAGTTTTAACAAAGACAATTCTACGACACACTTGAGATTGAAGCAGACAAAGCCGCCGGTAACAGATCTCAGAATACTTTATGAAATAAGCACATCGCTATCCTGGAAGAGATCAACAGAGATGAAACCAATGAAAGATGGCCAAGGATACCTAATTACAGAAGAGGAGAGATAAAGAAAACAGATGGATGATCGCTTCAAAAGACATCTGAAGCTACCATCACCTGCAACTAGTCCAGAGATGCCACCAAACGCACCCACGGAACTGACAATGGACACTAACCCATCAACGAAAAAAGAAGTCTTAAGTGCAATCAAGCTACTGAAGCTCGAGAGGGCTTCAGGACAGAACGGAATTCCTCCTGAAACACTGAAAACGGATCCAGTGGCATCAGAGGATGTCCTAACGCCACTACTGAAAATATTTAGAATGGAGGAAAGTTACCTATTGATTGGAAGAAAGGCTATCTTGTCAAAATACCAAAGGAGGTTAATTAGGCCTCCTCAAGAACTGGCGTGAAAAAAATTATTCATCGGTTTATTAAATTACGATACTACGAATCACCATCAAACAAGGCCTAAAATAGCAGTCAATTCTGTATCAGAAAATCTTCCCTTCCACTTACGTGAGCAGTATCTTTCTAACTGTAGGCAGGCGACGAAGATGTCAAAGCCTGCAAGGATTTGATGGGAAGAGAAGGATACGCGTTCATAACTCTGAAGTCAGTGAGGAGGCCTGCAGCGCTAAATACAAGGAACAAGATCCGAGTTTAAGACACTAATTTCAAGTCAGTGTTTCTATACAGTTCTGAAACTTCTCAAGCGCATCCTCAAAAGCATTTCCTACAGATCTTCACCAACTCCATTATTTAGATCAGTTGGCCGGACAGAAAAACCAAACAACAAAGAACTTTGACAACGAACCGATAAAAAACTATTACCCAACAAATATGCAGAAAGGAATGGAGATTGACTGCATATACGCTGGTGAGGAAGGCCAAGTTGAACCTCGAGCACCAGTGAAAAGCAAATGGAGTGCGACCGCACCGATGACCTAGAAACGCTCAGTGAGCAGGTTAGTAAAACCTGGAAAATTATATTGTGATCATGAGTAAAATTTGCTGAATGAGGTTTTGTATTTTTAAATGAGATATCTGGCAAGTTTCAGACTAGGCGTGTGAATGATGAAGTTACAGTTTAGGCTGAGGACGTGTTAGGGTTATGTGATTCCACTTTAGTTTGTTTATTAGATATACCACACAGTGAAACAGTATTATTTACTGGATGACGTTTCGTACAAAATTTATTGTTCATAATCATATCAATTGTAATCACACGATTTCGAAACTTGAGTTTTATAGTTTTCTTTGTTCTCTCCTATTTGTCGTCGTTGGGGTAGTAGAATTTTCCAGATATCTGGGACAGGTGTTGAATCATTCCTATTACACGTGTTGATTTGCAGTTGATTTGATAAAGAAAGCTTCTGTTATCAACCTCTCCCCCCACTCTGGTACATTAAGTTTTAGAACTGTCATCTTATCCCATCCTATTGTATGGTTGTGTGTAATTGCATGTAGTGCTATAGCTGAACCGTTCTCTAGATTTCTTATCTTATTCAGGTCAACTAATCTAGATTTTGCTAGGTTTTTATGCTCCGCCAGTCTGACTGGACCTGTTTTACCACTTCTACCTATGTATTTGACCTGACAATCATTGTAGGGTGTTAGATAAACCAAATTGTTTTGTTTTAACGGCTCCACAGGTTCCTTTAACCGACAAAGCTTGTTTCTAATTGAGTTTGTGGGTTTGAATGCAGGCCACTTTTATTCCTGCATTGTTAAGGGTTCTCTGTAAGGTTTCCAAGGTTCCTTCCTTGTATGGAATTACTACTGATGATTTAGATTCCTTATTGTTGGTGTTGTCATTATCTTGCGCATGTTTGACATGCATGTCGTCATTAATATTATTATTGTTGATATCACTACCACTACTATTATTATTTATCTTTACATTTTCTTACATACTTCCTGATTAATTTATCAGAGTAATTATTAAGTTTCAAAGCTTCTGCTATACGCCTCACTTCCTTGGTACTACTTAGTTTTTCTGCCCTATTACTTAAACATTTTACCAATCCTACTTTCACTGACATAGGATGGGATGATCGGAAGTCCAAATATCTGTTTCAATGTGTGTGTTTCCTGTAAAGACTAGTGTTTAACTTGCCATCTTTCTTTTTTACGCTACAGTCTAACATTATAAGCTCGCCTTCCTAACTTTCCAATTGATAAGTGAATTGAATTGCCTGCACCTTTGAGTTAATGTGTTCGAAAAATATATCTGGAAGATATTTGGAAAATTCTACTACCCCAACGACGACAAATAGGAGAGAACAAAGAAAACTATAAAACTCAAGATTCAAAGTCGTGTGATTACAATTGATATGATAATGAACAATAAATTTTGTTCGAAGCGTCATCCAGTAAATAATACTGTTTCACTGTGTGGTATATCTAATAAACAAACTAATATGGAATTACTTACTACCACAGTGCCTAAGTTTTACACATATATTAATAGGATTAGTTGAACTTAGCGAGGGCGACATTAGTGTTGATTCAAGTTAGTTTAGGGATATGATCAAGTTAGTGTTAGGTTAAGGAAAGATTAGGGTAATTGTAAGTGTTGGAAGACCTAGATAATTACTTTCATAAAATGCGGTTAAATTACTGCGTTGACAATTCAGTTCAAAACTGAAATGTATTTTCGTCACAAGTCAGAGAAAGGTATTCTGTGTGGCTGTTTCATGCCGTCCAGTTCATTCTTTTCATCAATACACGTATTTCGTGCGCAAAAATCCCCTTTGTCATGTGGCTGGCGCTTTAAGGGTCATTTTTCCGTCCCTACCTACTGTTGGTACTTAAAGTTTAACTTTGCCACGAGACCACTGAGTGGTGTTACATGTTAGGCTCTGCAGTGAAACAAGAATGGGAGGGGACGGATTGGACATCCAACGTTGAAATGGAGAGGATCGAATGAGGAGGAAATTAAAGCTTGTGGTCAGCCAGCTGAAGGCAAAAACACAGAACCAAGAGTAATTAATATGTGGCCGTAAATCATATCCTCAGCTTAAACATGGGAAATGAATAACAGTAATTTAATCTTTGGTACATTTTAATTCTCGTGCATTATTTAAATTCTTTAAATAGCTTGGTTTTACCCTGTTAACTGTTCAACTAATTCGCCATCATTTATTTTCATCGCTTATCAGCCATAAGATAGAATTCACCATAACAGTCTGTTCGTATTTCGGTGTAACTGCGCGAATACTTCATAGTATAGAACTTATAAAATATAACCAAAAGCTTTGAATATCACTGCAATGTTGTAACTGTATTAGTTACTGCTAAATTACAATACTCTCTATCTACACCAAAAAAGGAATATTTTTGTTTTGAAAACTTAGCACATAACATGTAATAATAATAATAATAATAATAATAATAAAATACAGCATGTTATACGAACACAAAATGACTTACCTGGTTCACCACTTTTATTGTACTTCGAATATCTCGTGAGGCGAAAAAGTTTTCTTTAATTTTCTTTTGAAGTTGGCTCCTTAGCTTAAGCTCTTCGTTTAGCTGAGCCTAGGAATACAGTTAAGGGAAGGGTTTCATCAAATGTTATTTTTATAGGACCAAGCGAGGAGACTGTGTAAGAATGACTTGAATTATATTAGGTTTCGAAAACACTCTCAACTTGGAGGAAACAGCTGTATAATACTTTTATTGTTTAGTGCTAATTTTCCAGTTAATTTTCCTTCGTCTGAAAACCTACCCATAATTCAACCAGACTTTGAAGAACCCCAAATCCAAGAATTGGAGTGGGGCATGAATATAGTGCATCACATTAGAATTTATCTTAAATCCCTTTTTTATTGTTACAGAACATCAAATTATAAAAATCTACAGAAAGTACAATTCTCTAGTGTCCTTTATTACACAATAACTAGATCTTAACTGCCTGCAAACGTTATCATATTAGATAACTGAAATAAAATGATTTTTTATTAATGTGGTATCGTTTCTCCCCTACTTAAGACACTATGATGTAATTTTCAGACTGAAGCGTGTTTATCCCTGAACGGTCGATATGATTTTATTAAGTAACACGTACATTTTGATCAGCAGTAGTCATGCTGTGTTTATGAAAATCATACACTTCTTTCGAACGTTAATATCTGAACTGCTGCCGGACACTGTGTTAAGGCATTTATTTAATGAGGATAAGTAGTTCACTAACTTAGGCGTTCAACTTTCAAACAGTGGGTCTCGGGTTGTAATACCACTTCACCTACTTCACCATGAATGGCTGTGTAGTATCAACAGTTCTGAAGCAATAAAAGGTTCTTGTAACTTGATACAAGAAAATTCTGTTCCGGGCCACTAAGTGCTAACTAATTAGTATAGCACTAACAGCATATTACGCTGATCACTTTTGTCATAGCATGAGAAAAACACCATTACCCATTCGCAGCATAAGAGCATTTTATTTCTACCCTCTCTTCACCTTCGGATAGACTAAACTATATATATTATATATATATATATATATATATATATATATATATATGGGGAGAGATGGTCGCTAGCCAAATTGGTAGACAGTAATTGACCTCAATGTTTATGTCTTAAATATAAGCCATGTGAAAACAAGGTCAAAAATGAGAACAAAGGCTTTGCGTAGGCCAATACAGTTAGCATATGGATTGTAATGACAGAAGGCGAGAGTCAGGCAACAGATCATTTATAAAGGAAATCAACGTATATTTATATATTTTCATGCACATTATTATGGATAGTTAAGCGAACAAACACAGTCTTCCGATTGGTTGTTCCTCACTTAAAATTAATCTTTCATCTCTTTGTCACTGTTTCTTGAATGTCAAATCATCTATATGTCAACTGCATCCGCCCACGCTAAGTATGCTGTAGTCGGTTTTCAATCAATCTTTGTTCACACTTTCTCACGACAAATCTTGGCAACGTAAACATTGACCTAAATTACTGTCTACCAATTTGGCTAGTAGACAGCTCTCACCACACTCGCCCCCCCGTCAAATAGCTTCGCGCGCAGGCGTTCCGACCTTCTGGGTGATGCATCCTCTAGTTGATGATTGTTACAGACCGGCTTGTCCCAATGCACCCATCGTTGGATCTGACTAGCGTTAACTCGTTTTTGTCTGTCACCTCTTCTGATGGTATATACTTGAACCCGTCTTTTTGTGACTAAAATCTTGACGATAAAGACGATCCCGGCCCCGAATTCAAAGAGAAAATTGAGACAATTCTTAGGTAGAGCAGCGTTTTATAGTCGCTTCGTGAAGAACTTCAATGAGATAGCAGCCCCTCTGTGCAGGCTACTAGGTGAACCGAAGTTTGTTTGGTCGGAGGAATCGCAGAAGACATTCAACAGGATTAAACAGCTGCTCGACCACCAACAAATGACACTAAAGCTACCTGTACCTGGAAGACAGTTCACAGTGTGCACAGATGCCAGTGACTACGCCATAGGTGCGGTCCTAAGACAGGGTGAGGGAATCGTTGAGTATGCCAGCCGGGTTTTGAAACACACAGAGCGAAAGTATTCAACGATAGAGAAAGAATGTTTAGCGATGGTATGGGCAATCGACAAATGGAGACCTTATTTACTCGGCCGGCGGTTCCACATCGAAACGGATCATAAGCCGCTACAGTTTCTGAAGACAGCGAGAGACCCACGAGGGAAATTGTCACGGTGGATGTTGCGTCTTCAGGAGTACGATTTAACGATCTCACAAGTTCCTGGAAATGAAAATGTCTTGGCAGATTTGTTATCGAGACCAGAAGACGAGTCTGAGTTGCCCGAGGTCACTTACGGAGTGCATGCAGTAGAACAAGACCCACTAAGACTGGCACGCAGACAAAGGTTGGACGATACGCTGAATACAGTAATACAGGTGATCACTAGCGGAATAGAAATGGATCCAGCTACAGCGAGTAAGGAGCTAACCACACTACTCAGACAGAGAGATCGACTAAGAGTGAATGCCTACGGGACTCTGACCTGGCGAGAGAACGATGGAAGCTGGCTAGCTGTCATACCTCAATCGTCGCGCCACGACATGATAGAAGAATGCCACCAGCTAGCACATACCGGAGTGGCCAGAACAACCGACCTCTTGAGACAAAGTATGTACTGGCCAGGTATGAGAGAAGACGTAGCAAGATATGTACTTGGATGTCCACGGTGCCAGCTAATGAAAGGCGATCGGTGCATACGACCACCACTTCAGTCGATTCCAGTTACGGCGATAGGTGACTTGTGGTCCGTGGATGTCATGGGTCTATTTCCTCAGACATCCAATGGTAATCAGTACCTCTTGGTGATGACGGAACACGCGACACGATGGGTAGACGCCGTAGCAATCCCAGACCAACGCGCAAGTACCGTGACAGATGCAGTAGTTAGACACATCGTTGCAGACCACGGCGTACCAAAGACAATACTGACAGACCAAGGTTCGTGTTTCGAAAGTGAAGAATTTACTTCCCGTTTGCAACAGCTAGGCATCAAGAGGATCCGAACGACCCCATACCATCCACAAACGAATGGCCTGACGGAGAGAAGCAACCGTACGCTGAAGGAGTGGCTGGCCTCGAAGGGCGGTAACTGGGAAACGGAGCTGCCACTGATTCTACTAACACATCGTGCCACCACCCAGGAAACAACGAAAAAGTCACCCTTTCAACTGATGTATGGTAGAAAACCACGATTACCGATACACAACGAAACCTGGCCCCTTCACCAAAAGTGGAGTACGACGAAATTAAAAGCAGAACGGAAAGAAGCCGTCAAGAATGTAATGCAGAAGCAGCGGAGGGATGTCGCGAAGTCTCAGCTGAGAGAAAAGACTCAGTGCATTACCTTCTCGGTCGGGGACCAAGTGAAGTGTAGAGACAGAAGATATGCTGTCGGATGCGGGCCAGGTTCACGCAAACTCCTTCCAAAGTGGGAAGGACCATACATAGTCACAAAAAGACGGGTTCAAGTATATACCATCAGAAGAGGTGACAGACAAAAACGAGTTAACGCCAGTCAGATCCAACGATGGGTGCATTGGGACAAGCCGGTCTGTAGCAATCATCAACTAGAGGATGCATCACCCAGAAGGTCGGAACGCCTGCGCGCGAAGCTATTTGACGGGGGGGGGGCGAGTGTGGTGAGAGCTGTCTACTAGCGAAATTGGTAGACAGTATTATATATTTATATGTATATATATGTGAAATCAGTCAAATAGGGAAATATGTTTTTTTTCTACTGCGCAGAAGATAATCATGAAGGCAGTAGTTTAACGAAACAACATAGGGTGTTATGTGATGGCATAGACACTACAACTCACATGAAAAGAAACTGGCTGTTTATAATATGTTTGAGAGAAAATTTATGAATTTCCGGTAAATGGTTTACAACAAAACAGTAGTCGCCTAGCAACATACATGAAGAATTTAAACAATAATATAAACGGTTTCTGCGTTGGTGGCACAGTGGTTAGGACGCTCGCCGACCATACACATGGTCCCGGGTTCGATCTCCGGCTGATGCACTCCTTTTCCTCGCTAAGCTAGTAATCGGACTGGTACAGATGGAAGGTTGGTCATGAGGCTAGCAACCCCATCCTGTAAAAGTAGACACTGCTACAGAAACTTCAAGCATCTAGCTTAAAGGCCTATATTTCACTGGAAATGTGGAAGGAATAAAAGAAAATATACGGTTTAGTAGTGATTCAAAGTGAGTCGAGTTAGTCTAAGTCAGGGGATAAGATAATAATAATAACAGAAAACAGAATATGTAATTATGAAACAGGTGTAACAATTATTTATACATTTCCTCTTAGTATACTTAAGTTGGCTATAATTCGCTTGATGCCAATAGATTTAGTAGACCTAAGGAAAGTTGGATTTCCTAGCTTATTAAAAATGTTGAGTGGAGTCGAAAAAAAGCCACTCTGTGATCTTATTCGATTCCATGTCAGGCAGTTGATTTCATAAGGGACTAGGAACATTAACTATTTCGTTAAACTGCTACCATCATGTTTAGCTGTTGCACAGTAGAAAGAAGATGTGTTCTTATTTCATTGACCCTCTGTATGATTTAGGTTTTATGAAGCTGAATTTACTCCTGGAAATGAAGTCTGTACACTTTATACTGAAAATCTTGTTCTTCTTCTTTCTACGGAGATATATAATTGATATGACTTTGAGTAGTCGTAGAGTTAAAAACAACAGTTTTTCCCAGGTCCTGAATAATAAAGTATCCACCTTCATTTTTGAATATGTAATAAACACCTAAATGAACCGGTTCAGTAAACCAGCAAATTGATGTGTAGTCTTCTGTGAGAAATAAATAAACTGACTGTATCAAAATGGAAAGATTTTAAGGCTATTTCTTGACTTTTTGAATTTATTAGTGTTTATTGAATCGAAGTGAGTGTCGTTTCTTGGCATTTAGAGTCAGAGAACGGGAGCTTTGATAATTCTGTTGATTTCGAATTGATGATTTTTGATACATGATGGATAAGCGTGGAACTCACGATCTGCACTTCATTCTTATAAGAATAAAACCTGTGCACTGTGGTAGAGTGTAATTCCATTATGGGTAAATTTTGTTTTGATAAAGTCTCACAGTGTTATACAGTAATGTTTACTGATGACGTTCAGAGCACAATTTATTGCTCATAATCACATCACACGACTTCCTAAATTCATTTATATAGTTCCATTGTTTTTCACTTGATTTGATTGGTAGCTTTAGAAAAAAGCTCAGCAATTGCAATGCATGCATTAACATACAATCACACAATAGGGTGGGAGAGAGTTAAGCTTCTAAAAGGTAATCTAGGTAGGTGGAGAGAGAGAGAGGTTGATTACTGAATCCTTGTCCATCGAATCTACACCCAACACATGCAATAGAAATGATTCATCACTTATACCCGAAATATGGAAAATATTACTACCAATCAAATCAAGTGAAAAACAATGGAACTATATAAATGAATTTAGGAAGTCGTGTGAGCACCTTGATCTGATTATGAGCAATAAATTGTGCTCTGAACGTCATCAGTAAACATCACTGTATAGCACTGTGAGACTTTATCAAAACAAAATTTACCCATAATGGAATTGCACTTCATTCTGTTTGTGGTTCGTTAGTTGGACATATTATTATTGAAGTGAATAGTGGATTCACTAATCGTCGTCTATTCATCACGGAAACACTATCACTGCCTAGGATGAAGATACAGATAGCTGACAAAACTTAAAAGAAAAGAAATCAGCATTCTGGATTCCACTGGTAGCTATCATCCATCAAATAACATCAGAATTCAAAGCTTTTTTATCTAGAACAACCGTTTTATAAAGTAAACCTTCAGATAAGATTTGACTAGACTGAAAGACTGTTTTACTAAAATGTTTTCTAATCACATGTTAACTACTATTATAGCGATCATAAAACTCAGAAAAAATAGCTCACCTTTATTTGGTTTAGAGTAACCATCAACTTTGAAAGATAGTATCGCTTTTGCTTTGCTTCTATAAGGACTTTACCAAATGTCTCTTCAGAATCTTTATGCTCACACGAAATATGACTGTATGCCACCAAAGTAAATGGTTCATTCCAGTTTCTTGTGACATGGTGTTTATGAAGCTTTTGTTTGAGGAACAATCGCAACTCTGCATTCCTTGAAAGAGCTCTTAAGAGTGAGGTATCCTAAGATGTAATCAACAAAATGTGATATAGTTATTTACAATACATAAATTACATGATAATTTGGTTCGACATCTTTTCCCAATTAACGTTCATTTGTAATTTGCTGGGAAAAGAAATATAATGTCACTGTTATTCCTAACAGAGACAATTATGACAGAAAAGCTTCAGAACATACTGAGTCAGGTCTACACGTGCTAGCACCGATCAATAATATGTCTAGCACTGTGAATAAAATATGAGCGGAGACATGTGATGCACTTAAAGAAACCCAAACTAAGAAATCTAGTTTGATATCAAGAGCTCCTAAAATTAACTCGGCCGCCAGATTCTATGGAAGACTGAAAATCCACAAAAGTGATGCTCCTCTGGGACCAATTATTGATTTTGAGAATCCAGCAACAGGCAGTTCATCAAAATGCATGTCCAGAATATTGAGACCACTTCAGTCCAATATTTCTTCTGACATTAAAAACACTGATGAAGGTAAAAAGAATTGATGGATATTAATGGCACAGAACTGACAGTGAACACCAATCTTCCAACGAAAGCAGAAATCCTGAATGCGATCAACATACTGAACGCCGGCCGGGAAGGCAGCAGCATCAGACGGAATTGCCCCCGAAGCACTGAAAAAGGCTTGGAAAGAAGAAAAAGGTAACTACTGATTAGAAGAAAGCCTGTCTATCTTGTCAAGCTGCCAGAGAAGGGTAACTTACTCCTCACTCCGCAAGAACTGGGCGTGCAATTATGCTCTTGTCCACGCCTAGTGAAATACTAAGTCGTATCATCCTGGAGAGAATAAAAGACGCACTGGATACAGAACTACACAGCCCCACCGACCACAACAAGCTGGATTCGGGAGAGACAAATCATGTGCTGATCAAATTGCAACTCTACGCACCGTCATCACAGAACAAAGAATACAATGGCAGTTAAAACTCCACCTCAACCTCCTTCATCGACTTCGAAAACACCTTCGACAACGTTGATCGAGACGTAATTTGGAAACTACTTCAACACTATGGAGTACAATGCCAAAGTCTTTATCAACCTCATTCAACTGCTCGCTATATGACAACGCCTGTCAGATCATCCACAACGGCAAACTCAGAGAGGTGTTCGAAGTGCATACAGGAGTAAGACAAGCTGGATGCCTATTACCGCTGATGATATTCATAATTGTGGTGGATTGGATTATGCGTCAGACTGCGAGTCGGGAGTAAGAAGACAGCAATACGCTGGACCACTGAAAAGAAGACTCTAGGAGATCTGGATTTTGCGTGTAGATGATATATGTCTAATGTCTCACAAACTCGAAGACTTGCAAGCGAAAACAAACAAACTGGCTGAAGAGGCAGCCATAGAAGACAGGAATGCAGGTGAACATAGAGAAGACGGAGGTGATGAAGATAACCGACGAACCGCAACAATGACAACGACCAGCACCACTCACCATCAACGGGAGAGATTTGACAGAAGTTACTTCCTACCCTCACTTGTCTAGGAAGCATCGTTTCAACTGTAGGCATTCGGAACGGATGAAGATGTGGAGGTAGACCAGAATCGGAAAGGCAAGATACGCCTTCATCAACCTGAAACCAGTTTGGAAATCTTCCGCATTCACCATAAGGAACAAGATTCGCATTTTCAACGCAAATGTCAAGTCGGTTAGTGCTTCTATACGGGTCACAAACTTGGCCAGCGTGTCACGAAAAGCATTTCCAACAGCCAACTACAGACTATTATCATCAGCTACCCACTTCGCTGGTTGACTCCAAACTGAAGATCAAATGGCCAGCCAGCTGGCTGGAGAGAATTAGTAACAAGAAACTCTGACTGGGAACAAACCAACAGGCGAGAGCCGATCACACAACAAATATGTGGGAGAAAATGGGTATGCATTGATCGGGCGACTGTTGAGGAGGCCGTCGAATGACATCGCGCACAGTGCAGGCCATCGCTCGAGTGGAATCGAAACGGGAAGCGATGAGTGTCGTCAGTGAGAGAGTGACATGGAGGAGATCGTATGAGGAGCAAATGAGAGATTGTGGGCAATTGTGGACCTAGCTGAAGGGGATGGCAGAAGATAGAACAAATTGGAGGTGTTTTGTCGAAGCCTTATGTTCGAATCGGAACACAAGGGAACAATAATAATGTATTTGCGTCACTTGATATTATTGTGCGCTGCGGAACAATCAAGCAATATTAGCTTAATGTTTATTAAATTGTTTAAAACTTTGTTTGGAATTCATATATTTTACTTTTAAAGACAAACTATATTGTTTAAGAAGCCCATTGCCCGACAGATATCCCGAAGAAAATGGAGGTGGATCGGACACACACAAGAGAGACCATAGAGTGACACCACGCGCCAGGCTCTTGAATACGACTCGAACGGGAAAGGACGAGGTGGGTGTCGGTGACATGCAGGAAATTGTGTGAGGAGTAGACGAAAGCTTATGGGAAATCATAGAGCTAACTAAGAATAACTAAATAAAACAGGATGAATTTGAACAAAGCAACAACTACAGTTTTAGCAGAATAAAATGGTACCATATTTTACTTCGTCGCCTTCTCTTCAGCTGCTTACAGGGCAAAAATATTGTTAAATGTATCTTGCACAGAGTTCATTTTAAACAGAAATCAATCGATCGATATACACATACACTAATATATATATATATATATATATATATATATATATGCAATATTGAACACAATTCCGAGCAATAATAGTCATACAAAATGGAAACTTTTCAGTATCTCGCATTCGGATGAAAAATATCCAGTTACCAGGGCAAAGAAAGACTGATAACTGCTTCTTTCTGAACGCACAAACCAGGTTTTAGGCGCTTGATGGAAAAGGCTTCAGCAAACTTAAGGAGCATTGAACTCTTTTGCTTATTGATAATTTTGAACGACTTTTCCACGTCCACCTCATGACCCGTGTCAAGAAGATACCTGGCGATGGCACTGCTTAAAGCTTTTGTTCCCTTTAGACGTAAGCTTTTTGGTACATGTTCAGAAAATCGTAGATATGCTCTTCTTTCTGTTCTTCCAATGTAACTGCTCCCGCAGATACATGTAAATTTGTATATACAGTTGGAGTTAACATGAGAAGGATATCTATCGATTTTTGATTGCACCAGAGAGCAAGTTGTTCGAAAGACGGGAACGAGCTTAGCTGCAGGATAGGCTATGGCTAGTGATGTACTCAGCCTTCTGTTGATCATCGCTGCAATGTTTTCGCCTTTATAATCAAGCTCAAAGTAGATTGGCTTTTTTCTTACTGTGATTTGTTTTTCATTTGCGACTGCAGATCTTCCATACTTGTTGATGAACCTTAGAGGGTACCCATTGCTCTTCAATGTCTTTTCAAGAAACTCAAATTCTTCCTCTAGTTTCTCTGTAGAGCATATTCTTCTCGCTCTATAGTACAGAGTCTTGACCAGTGCTCGTTTATAGCTGTTTGGACAAAAGCTATTAAAATGTAAGTATTGTCCTTTCCATGTGGACTTACGATAAATTGACTTCTGAAGACTACCGTCTTCTAGGCGTTCCATGGCGATATCGAGGAAGTGGAACTTCCCGTCACTTTCATGTTCCACAGTGAACTTGATATTGGCGTGTGCATCATTGAATAATCTTAGTAGGTGTGAAGCATGACTATCATTTTTGCACACTATAAATGTGTCATCAACGTAACGACAGTAGGAAGTTGTTTCATCGATTGCATGCTTTAACTTTGTTTTCTCAAGATTTGACATGAAGATATCTGCTAAAACAGGGCTAAGTGGACTGCCCATAGCTACACCATCTATTTGGCGGTATAGAGTGTTGTCAAATTGGAATTGCACATCCATGGTACACATAAGGAGTAGGCGTTTGAATTCCGACTCTGGGAGTGGGAGTATGATTATTATTGCTCGGAATTGTGTTCAATATTGCATATATATATATATATATATATATATATTAGTGTATGTGTATATCGATCGATTGATTTCTGTTTAAAATGAACTCTGTGCAAGATACATTTAACAATATTTTTGCCCTGTAAGCAGCTGAAGAGAAGGCGACGAAGTAAAATATGGTACCATTTTATTCTGCTAAAACTGTAGTTGTTGCTTTGTTCAAATTCATTAAGGGGAACAAATGTATGAAAACAGGATGAGATGGGTTTGTGCAGTGTAAGCTCTGTCTCACCCAAAAACCAAGGCATTATAATAATATTGTCAGACAAACAGAGTTGTAATGTGATCGGCATCTCCAATTGTCGATAATTTGTATATGAATGCCATAGAAAGAAAAGCACTGAATGACTTTATTTGTCAAGCTAAAATAATGGTACAAACATGTACACTATACATTCATCACTATTAAGAAAGTTGAAAAAATAAACTTTCTAATATATATATATATATATATATATGTATACATATATAAAATTCCATTTCAAATTGAATAAAATTTACAGATGAAATTGAATCGGATGATGGAACTGTAGACTTTCTGCACTGCCTTATCGAAAGACAAACTGAAGGAAGACTAAATAAAGCCCACGGTATATAAGAAACCTAATTATTCAGAAAAAACATTTGAATTACCTATCTGATCACCCAATAAGCATGAAAGTCTTAGCGGCTTTAAATCTATTAGAAACATAGCCGACAACGAGGATGCAAAGATTGAAATTCCCAATGTAAGACACGTTTCAAATCAAAATGATCAGTCAAAAAAGTTTCTGGACAACGTTTTCAGTCAAAATGACAGGAAGAAAAAGAAGAATATTGAAAAATGTTGGGTATCGACGATAGTCATTCCACACTGAGAACACACGGCAGAACAACTTTACAGAATATTTGCTTCATATGGTGTTAAAATCTATTTCAAACTCCCAAATTCTTTATAGAGAGCTTTAATGTAAAGATTTATTTCCTAAACTGACATGGAACAACTGTATCGATAGGACAGAATGTTCGGAATATGAGGGTTGCCATATAGGTGAATGCTACAGACAGATGAAGGGCAGAATGAATAAACATAGACTATAAACTATTTAAACGTCTGCATAGAAATGAAGTAAAAAAGAGTCTTGAAAAAAGACCAGCTATATGAAAGTGGATTGACACTGTGAAAACACAATGAAAAGGCTTTAATTTACATAAAGAAGGGCTAACCTCTGAAGCCTTGCATATTTTAACCACATAAAATGAGATAAACAGCAGAGAAGAACTAGACTTGCTAACTATCTGGCAGACACTACTGAAAGCAGAAAATTATTCATTACAATACGACAAACAGTGCATATACAGATAGGTGTATAAACAAAACAATTTGGAGTTAGCATCACGAATATATAATGACCAATTACATTTATTCAATCGGTACAAATATTTATCGACAAGTGGCCTTTAGAAACTTTCGTACTCATCATCTGGATGTTCCGGAAATCTCCAGTGAATTAAGGTGTTTCCATTGTTGAACCAAAGAAGCTAATCACATTATCTGTGCTAATTTTTTATGTTTCGGATAAAAATGGAGGACAGAGGTAAACCATTCTATAACGTTGGTTCTACCTTCTATTATTATGAGATCAATTTCCGTTACAAAAAGTCACACAAAAATAATAATATGCATTTCATTATTTTATAGAGAATAATAATGTGCTCTACAAAAAATGGATCATACTGAGCAACGATGTAGTCTAAAAGGATAAGGATCGCCAAGACAGTTGATCCATTCGGAAGATTCTAGGTAATTGCTATTGTACATGTAGATTAGAGATTTGAAAAGGATTTGAAGTGAGTAAAAGGTGTCTTTCTAGAAGAGCCTGGAAATACCTTAAGACATTTAGAAAAAAACTTGAATCCATGTAGTTTTATAAAAAGTCTAACAATGCTCTAGACATTCTTTTCCCTTACTTTTTACTACATTGGCGGATCAATATTTGTTAAAAGGTTTTTTGGAAAAAAGTCGATGCTCCTATCACTTTGCAAAAGGTTTATCAATGTGCAGGGATTTTATTGAACTGGATACCTAGTTTAAACTGCCAACCTATGACAACAAAAGGTAGAGAAATTCAGGTTACTTCCTATTAACCAACGATTTTTCTTATTTGTTTTAAAAAGAAATACAGTAACGTTTCATTGGCTTTTCGGTACTACAAAAAAAGCATCTCAAAGTTTATTAAAATTAATGTATTAAGTTAACCTTATGCAAAAAAAAATTGCAGCGTGAAAAAATGGATAACTTCAGGTCTCAAGTCAATGTGAATAAGTCTCAAACAAAATTTATAACAAATCTATATAACATCCTTACTGTATTGCAAGATATAAACTGATTACTTTACAATCTATAACACGATAATTTTTATGTATAGTACACGATCGTAGATGCCATGAGTATCTTTCGCCCGCAAAAACTGAGGCATCATGAACAATAAAATGTTTTCGATTATTTGACATTCACTTGATTTTTATCTATATAAGGCAAAATATTGCATCTTCGATAGAGTATAATTACTATTCAGTCATTCTCCTGAGATTAAGGAAATATCCCCAAAAGTACGATGTATTATTGGAAACATTTTAGTAGTCTCCTTTGCTTATCATTTAAACATTAGCTGTATTTACAAGTCTATACTAGTAACTAGTTCCATAACAGTTTATCAAGTCTATCACAGGAGTATATCCATAAGAATGCTAAAAACCATCTGAGCAACAGGTGAAACAGTATCCTAAAACATATTCAAAATACTTTCCTTAACATCGAGTGAAATTATATAAGTCCAAATAAGCATTTGGCTGAAATTATTATATTCTATATTTGATTAATAAAGATAGACGGCTTACTAGCTGTTTTGATCGTAATTCCATATGATGAATGAAACAACTAGTTGTTATTGTTTTCAAACGTTCACTAAATCCACCGACTACAACTGTTTTATAAAATGCCTTGATACGATTTTTAATATCGACCAAATATTCTTCTTTTTCTTGAATTTCACCCTAAATTAAAGCGAAAACAGGGAAAGATGTGAAATTGAATTCGAGTTAGATAAACAAATATTATGAATATTCTACTAAAACTAGTATACACATGCTTATCCAACAAGTCAGAATGCATGATGAAAAAATTGTCAAACCACACGGCACGCGCAATTTGCTAGCTTGCGTTCTGCGCATGTGGTTTGACGCACGATATGGCAAGACGTAGTGATAACTAAGCTTTTCTTGCCAGAGCGACGGGGAAATCTTTTACTGACAAACATAAAACAAGAGCCAACTTCGGAAGGCTGCCCCTCTCAAAGTTTATCCGTTCCATTTACGGAAATTTCTGAGCCTACTCAATCTAATAGTCAAACTCGACTTACAAGATCGCAAAGCGCCACCTGTTAATCGCGACAGATAGATAGACTATATGATAGACAGCTAATCAATGTGATGTGACCTCCTTGTCGCGATTATTGGTCAATTTATTGTAACTCTCACCACGTGATGTGACCTTGAATGTTCTTTGTTGTCTGTCACTCTATTTGTGTGTACATGTAATTAATTTACTGTTCATTTTATCCGTACCCTCAATACTGTTCGGTACGTTTTCGTCCTTTTTTGAATGACAGTGGATTTGTACATTTTTCTTGGTGTAATTGTATGATTTATTTTATGTTTTAGAAACAGATAAAGTTTAAGTCAAGTCATTCTGTTTTAACTATAGTAAAGCCAAGACTCTGTGTCGTCAGTATTGAGGAAGGACTAAATCTGTAGGACAAAAATAATCCTACACCACCTTACTTTACTTCATCCGAACATATAACCCTCCCAGGGAAATACTTTCTACACTTGGTCAAGAGTTCCTCAGCAACCGATTTCTAGAACGCGTAGTGATACCTGAAGCACTACGAAATAAACTCCTTCCACATGGGACATCCTGGTATTCAGCGGATGAAATCTATTGCTCGCATTTACGCATTTTTTTGTTCTTCACGTTCCCCAGTGGAACATAGGGCTTCAAGCTAGTTGGCTTGAAGGTTCTGTAGCAGTGTTTATTTTACAGGATGGGGTTGCTAGCCTCATACCCAACCTTTCCTCTTTACCAGCATTATTTCTGGCCCAGCGAGGTAAAGGAGTGCGTCGGCCGGGGATCGAACCCCGGACCATGTGCATGGTCGGCGAGCGTCCTAACCGCTATACCACCGACGCACCGCAGTTACGCATACTCGCCTAATATGGATAAACATATTATTGATTTTGTTCAACGATGTTCAAAATGTCAACAAACTACAAAACTACCCCACCAGCTACCTCCCGTACCGTGGCCACCAGCAGACCATCCTTGGTCCAGAATCCATATTGATTTTGATGGCCCTATAAATGGTGCATATTATTTAGTGGTGGTAGACGCTTTTTCGAAATGGCCAGAAGTTATACCAATGGGTTTGGTCCTTAACAAGTCCCTTCAGTCAATGGCTTTTTGGTGCAAGTTGAAAGAATCCGACATAGGCTCTTCTTTCGTTCCTTCAATGTGACTCCTCCCGCAGTTACACACGAACTGATATACACAGTTGGAGTATCACTTGAGGGGTGGTTGTTGACTTTTGACTGTGACAACTAGAAGGATGCTCGGAGTAAGGAGACAAGTTTTACTGACGTATACGTCCTGGTCAGCGCTGTATTTAAACATTTATCTATCATTCGCATAATATTACCACCTTTGAAGTCGATTTCTTGCTGATGTCCTAGGCATACTGTCAGTTCGCGGAGCTGGAATGCTAAACAATAAGCATGAAAACAAAACATTGGTGGTATATCGTACACAGCAAAGTTATTCAAATAAATATTATTGTAGCTGAACTCGAATATGAACATATTCCTTCTAATATATTTGAAAATAATTCAGCGAAGAGATTCTTTTCAACGAATTTCTTATCATTTTGTACAAGGGTATATATAAATATATCTTATTAATTTTCTCTGATATATGATAAGAAATATTTGCAGTTGATATTGAACTTTGTATCCTAAAAGTTTTGCTCACTGAAAACAGTTAATCTAACCGATTTATTCATAAAAATTCTACACTGGTCACTAACTCAGTTCTAAAGAACGAAGTTTTTCTCCGTTTGTCTGAAAGATAGGTTAGGGCAAGCGTTTTCAGTAGGGACAACTTTTAGGATAGGGAGTTCAATATAAACTGCAAATATTTCTTATCATATATCAGAGAGAATAAATAAGATTTATTTTCCTGATTATAGAGATTAATTCTGCATTCCGTATAAACAACTGGCGAATGAATCCGTACATTCTACAAACATTTTAAATATATTATATGATGTTATAAATACATATATACGCTTGTAAAAAATCATAAGAAATTCGTTGAAAAGAATCTGCCACAAGCTCCACAGTATTTAAATTGCAAAGGAAAATGTACCAACAAACTGTGACAGTTGCAATGGGCTCACCAACATTTCCGTTGTGGCAGATACATTCATGGATTCATGTATTAGGAGACTTAACTGTAAAGTCCATTTTTAATTTGTTTGATAGGCCTGTATAACTCTAATACCAGTGAAAGTTGTATATCAGTTTTCAGAATTATAGCTGTTGACAAAAATTGCACAACAAACTATATGAGTGATTTTTCGTATACTCAACAGGTATACCTCAAATAGTGTTTGCGTATCAATTACATCGTATAGATGGATAAAACCTTATGATGAACTGTGATAGAGTAAACAAGGTTAATACGTGTACACCAGTGTTCACTGCCCCTAGTGGTTCATTGTTTATTTATTTTATTTTATTTTTGATTACAGCTTGATGCCACGCCGTATTTTCAGTACAAGTATGACATTTTCAGCATGGATATCGGTAGCCCAAATTTCGCAGGCCGACCATAGATATCGGGTGTGCGTCGGCAGGGGATCGAACCCAGGACCATGAGAATTTAACTGGCTGTACGGGCTTGAATTACATCAATTAGCAAAGAGTTAAAAACTTGATCATTTATTCTAAAACTATTCAGTAACAAACCACGATTAAGTATGACTGCAGTAGTCCTGCAAATCAAGAGCTGTTACCTGTATTTTGTCTCGTAAACGCGTATTCAACTCGAGGATTCATTAAACTGAGAGCAAAGACTTCCGAAATTCTAGGTCATTTCCATCCACCAAATAAACAAAAGGGAGTTGAAAATTCACTTCCCCATGGAACAACACTGATTTCATTTACTAAGGTTGTGTTGACAGATCTGTGCAGAAATGTTGACGCTCAGAAAACACAAAACCCATCAGGAAGGATGATAAGTATGTACAAATCTTAATTTGCATACTCCAATTTCCTAAATGGTCCAGTGCAAATAGAAAATAAGTTACCAATTATTCCTATGACATTTCTGTCAGCATTATATGGAGTTTCATCACGATTACCTATATGTATGTTCTATAAGTTCTTCTACAAACTTAATCCCAAAGAAGTTATTCCCTTTCTATGACAGATTTAGCGAAATAACACGATATAAATCTCCCATGTCATACATTAATAATAAAATTAAAAAGACTTACTTTAATGTCTTCTATCATATTCTCGTATGCTGTAATCTCTGTTATAATAAATGTTGTGAGCTGCTTTAGGTCATTTGATGCATCCTCACATATTTCTTTCGTAACTATGCTTTCACGTGAGGAGCCACGCAAGACACTAGGCGCGAAGTGCACCCCACGTCCCTTGGCTATCAGTAAATTATGAAACGGTGAAGATTTTAATATAAGAGTATGGTGAAATCTGACACCAGTATCATAAGAAACTGATCAAAAAGTATTCAGCTTACATGTACTCAAAATAGACTGAAGCTTTACTAAGAATACAAGGATTTTACCTGGAACTATAAAATTTTCAACCAGTAAAATCTACCAGAAGTTGACTTCATTCAGGCTGATTCATCTTTATTCTTTGTTTGTGATCTTTAATACGTATTATTTCTTCTACCACCACAGGATAAAGGGACTGTTCAATAGATCATATATTCTACCCCCGTTATCATCATAATTATTGTTTTCCCACTCACTATAGTACTGTAGAGGATATGGTAGCTTAACAAGATTGCGGTAACTTCTCATAAGCACCACAACAGACCTAGTTCTCTGTTTACTGGGTCACTCAGAAAACAAAATGGTAGTTTTTCATCTAAATAAAAAAACCATTCCTAAAAATTTCAATGAAACTGCTGTAAATATCATTATTTTTACTGTCATGATTGTAGAGGTCAGCAACAATGTATAATTCGTTATTTGCCAGCAAAGCAGATAATATATTTGCTTCATATATATCACATATTTGTAAAAATATAGAACAAATAGTACATCAGTTTATACATAGACTATAATGGGCTTTAGTATAAAAGTTAGTGGATATATAAAGGCAGAACAACACAGTTGTGGAACTAGGAAACAAAGTCTCGTTAAAGGTTCAGTCATACATCAGTTCAAAGAACTGAAGTCCACCAACTATGAAATTATTATGTACTCGTCATCAATAAGTTATGGGGTCGTTGCCGATATTAGGGTGTGACCAAGTGTAAGTATATGCTAATGAGATACAACGGACGATAACGTACAGACTGGTACTGCTGAGTACTTAATTTGTCCTGACGCGAAGGAGGAAATCAGAAAACCAGCCCGTTCACGATGATACGTGTATTTTCCACAAGGGAAATAAACTGTCACACAAAGTGTGAGTGAAAGTACCAAACAGTACGAAAGGTGTGAAAGAGAGAGAGAGGATCAAAAAGTGTACAATGCCAAAGTATATGTGAAAATGACTAATACATACATGAACCAATAAGATAGACAGTAGCAGTTTATCTTACCATCATTGGATTCTGATTGGTTGTAATGTCATGTGACATAAAGGTCATACAATGTCCATTTTAGTTAATGGACAGACAAAGCATATTGTGAGTTATAATGGAATATCGATCAATATACACAGCAAAATATATCAGACTGCCAAAAACAAAGGCAGACATCATGTGACTACATCTCAGAAATACAAATCGGCATTTGCACATTATGAATTTACAGAAACATATCTATTAGTCTGTTGGGACGTTCCTTTGAGTCAGAAGCCCTTCAGTTGTTATTAACAGAAGACTGAGCATTATTACATAGTGGTTGGTTTAACTCACGGCAAGTAATACCCGAAAATCAATTTGAAAGTAATCGAAAAATCGATACAGTATGAAACATAATGCTTTGGATAGATGAATCCAATAAAGAGATAAAACATCACAATAGGAATGAGGAGAAGGTACTACCTGATACAAGCCACCGTAATAGACTCAGGGCCTTTTACTGACATGGGTACTTTGACTTCAGGTCCTTCCGACCATTTATGAACCTAGACAAGCAATTCGGACTTCTGTATAAAGTTCAAATACTAGTCAGTGACCTCTTCAATTGTATTTCCAGGGACAATCCCAAAACTTTTCGCAGAGTTAAACTTAAAAACCTGTCAAAAATGAGAGACTACAACTATTTTCGGGCTACAATTATGCAAGTGTAAAATATGCAATGTGAAGGGAAGCAAAAGCGAGGATTGATTACCTAAGTTGAACTTATCTGATAATTAGTAAATCAAAACTTACAAATTTTTAAAAATACAGTGTGTTCATAGCTTTTCGTTATCCTGATTAAAGTAAAGATTACAGGATTACGCTTTATATGCGGGCGAAATCAACCTGCATGGCATAGCGACTAAGAACAATACAGTGCACCACTAGGAATAGTAAAAGTTGAAGCAGTGCAAATTCAGAAGTTCAAGCGTACGGAATTATTATTTAACACATCAACCAAACGTTGATATAGCCTTCGCGTATACACTTAAACAACAATTCATAAAATAATGCTATATCACTGAATGGGAAACATGAAAACAAAAAATAGTGCAATGAACAAAGAAGCACCATCATAAGGTCAATTTAATGGGACAATACACACCTTGCATTCAACAAAAGAATCAACACTTCTTGGACATATTTAATAGCCTCTAGAACCATTGCATCACATTATTTCTTTGACCACACCAAGTGGTTAGTGAAAAGTCAACACATTCAGCGAAAAAAATTATCATATCGTTAGTTAATTCTTTCTCTTATTCTTTCAACCAGTAGAACGAAGCAATCCAGAAGCTACCTGGATGACATTTGTGACAAACTGAAAACCATTCAGGTTGGTGTTCTGAGACGATGAAGCTTATGGATAGGTAATATCATACATTCAAAGACAGGTGAGAATAACTGAAATGCTATATCCAGAAGAGAGAAAATTTAGATGGTTGGAGGCAATCGACAGATAGCCTTGAACCTACATTTCGTGCTAGCTGGCACTCGTCAGCAGGGCGTATCTGCAAGCTCGAAGGAACTCGTGTCCCTTCAAATCATTGTGCACTGCGATGGCAAGCCACCTAGAATGGTGGCCTCATTGCAAACCTGACTGGTAGAATTCCGCCTGCACCAAAGAAAGGACTAGATACACCACACTAGTTACTAGTGTCCAATTAAAGATTGAAAATTTCTTACGGGGATGGCAACAATCAAACAAAAGGGTGACTTTCAGCTCCACAGAATCTGATTTTATAAATTCTGGTTATAAAAGATGTGGTGGTGGATTTTACAGAGACGTGAGATCATGACTTTCAAGTCTATAGTTCCATTATTCTGCATCTATGGAGCTGAGAATCGACAATAACACAGTTATTTAATTAAAAATCTATGAATGTAATGACCATGTAGCAACAGGAAACCACTAGGAAAAAAAGCCACACCTCTTCAAATGATGAAATATGAAATGTCACAAGAAATAGTCTTTCACATAAACGAGAATTCCATGATGAGCAGACAGGAGAATGAATGCAAGGAATCAAGCTTCTTAACGTGAGTTAAGTCACACTGGCTATCTTTAACGAGTTTACTCTGGTGTAACAAAACCTTCTGGTATTACGTTTTATTATATTGACGAAGAAGTAATTCATCCGTGTTACCACGTATCAACATTATATTCCAGAAGAAATTCGCGGGTTTGATTTAGCTGCAAACATAAATGTAAATATAAATACTGGTTAAGAAGGAGAGATAAAGATCGAGACTGTCCAGTTATTTCTATGATAACCGCCAGGAGTAATATCAACTAAAATCTAATAAAATTATACTAACCTTTTGTAGCAGGTGGCTGGCTGAAGAAACTATCAAACATTTTGTTTCGTCTTCTCCATTTTTGTGTCAAATAACTTTTAAAAAATAAAGATGAAGAGATTTACATCAGGAAACTATTGGTATACGTATATGCACATAAGGAATTTCGCATTGCACTTAGATATAATCGGGAACACCACTACAGAGTGACACATCAATAGATTTATCTGACACATATTCAGCCATATAAAACATTTTCCCACAATTTCTTTTACAGTTGTCAAATATAACTCACTTTTAGTCCATATGTAGAGTAAATTGTATTCAAGTCAACTCCATCGAATGAAACGATTACTTCGAACTATTTGAATCATACAGGATGATTGTTTTTCTCATCAGCATATTTAAAGCATGACCACTAAATTAAGCAGACTACGTTCATTAAAATCAGTTTGTACTACTTAAGGTTAGCTAGCTAAATGTAGTTGAATGGTGTGGAAGCAAACCTATATGTAACAACTTTAAGAGCTTAAAGATGAGTAGAGCTTACTTCAGAAAAGGGTTATCTTTCTTTGGCTTGACAACTTGAAGTAGTCGTTCGAGTCTTCTGTTTTGTCCCACACCAGTCCTTAATATCTGCTTACTTCAGGAGAACCATGTTGTTTACTGGTTCATAAGACTAAAACAGTAAATCGCAGTGAGTATTTGCCTATTTGTTTACTTCTGAATTTCACGCCAGAGCACCTCTATGACATTCCAATTTTATAACCTAAATTTACCATCCTTTAACTTGACTTGGAAACGAAACCTAACACAATGAACTAGAGTCTTGACTGTATTTCAAATGCAGTGTTATAAGAAAACGTAGTGGTTATGTAATGATCTAATGAATCACATTGTATTATTATTCACTCAAAGTAAAATTCTAGCTTCAGCAGAAGCAAATAAGTATGATATTTTAACTTCATAATATTCATGAATAACTTTCGGTTAATTTCGTATGTCATTTCGTAACTTTTGAGGTACAACCTGAGCTCTGTGCAATAAATCCTTCCAAGATGTTATAGAGGATAGTCGAATACCGTGGTGCTTGTTTATGTTGTCATTCTCACCTTGCACGTCTGATGAATAAATTTTTGATTAACAAACCGGGAATTAAACAGATGAAATTTTTATCTTTACGTATCCGGACGATTTTAAGCAGTTGAAAGCGTTCGTGAAGAATATTTAGGAGATATTTTTTTTTTCGATTTACAGCTTGATTTCCACACCGTATTTTCAGTACAAGTGTGGAACTTTCAGCATGGATATCGGTTGCCCAAATTCAGGCATACCATAGATATCGGGTGTGCGCCGGCAGGGGTTCGAACCCCGGACCATGTGCATGGTCGGCGAGAGTCCTAACCACTGTGCCACTTAACTTTCGGCGTAAACTCTGCATTCCGTCGTTTAGGTCAAACTATAAGCAGCTGGTGCTATATGAATAACACACAACAATAGAATAAGCACATTCCGTCAAAGATACTAATATGGGTAAAATCTATTATTGATATAAGTATAAAACTTGGGTAAAATCTATTGAGAAACAATACATTAGTCTTACGAATATGAGCCAGAGGTGTTTACGTATAAAATTTGTAAAGTGGCTATCTACATAGTTTTATATGCCTTTTTTATAATTTCATATTCTTGAACAAATTTTCAAAAACACTGCGCTTATTCAGTTGAGTTAAAAACATAGAGCAGACAGCAACTGGACTTGTTTACAAAATTAAAATTAATACATTAAGGTATTTTCCTGGGAATATTTACCTTAAGATCACAGACTTCACATTTTGTCGGAGTTAACTTCACGTTAGATTTTCTCGAGAATGTCAAGTTACTAGAGTAACACAAAAGCTACCAATTCAGGACATTAGATCTAATCTTCAAGGGACTCCTCATATGTTTTGGCAAGGATTACTTTTTACTCAGAGATAATTACATCCCCGTGCGCCCTTGTAAGTTAATGAATACAAACCAATGCTAGTAGATAGGGTATAGCCGAGGCTTAAACTCTGAAATGCAGAAGAATTATCTTACTTATTATTTTCATTTGAAATTCATACCAAAATACATATCATCTCCAGCTAATATCTATTATGCTTTACCAGAATATTAAGGAGCTAAACAGTATTTTAGTAGCTTAACCATGGGGGTTTCGGAGCCCAATGGGAACACTTATAGCTCCTAATTTCTGGAATTTATCTTGCATTTGTTTCAAAGTTTTTTATTTAGGATCTAATCGATGACGACGTTTTCCACTATAACGATATACTGACCAAAAAGTATATGCATATATATCACAAAAGATGTGTGAGGGACGAGTCTAAATGATTATCAACCCTATTTCAAAGCTTTTAAAATTAAGTTACAACGCGTACCCTCAAGGAAGCAAAAAGGCAATGGAAGGATGGACAGCTGTTTTATGTGGGACTCTCCAGAACCATGCACTTGTGGCTCCATGGGTGTTCTAATTCAGTAACTTCAGATTACGAGGTGATGTGACAAAGTTTTATTTGCTTGAATTTGTTATGCCGTTGGCACTACGCCTAGAGTTTTACAGTTCAAGCTAAAAAGCATGGTCTTTTGTGTAAAGATGCATTATATAAACCACCAAATGACCATGGAAAGTCTGAATGAGACTATATTAACAATATGGCTTGTTGGTGATTTGTGGATTTATATGTTATGACTGCTTCATTCTAGCTCGAACTAGAATGCAAAATATTTTCCGACTGGACCCTGATGCTACTGTAAACCATTCCTACTCACAACTTTAGCCCGGTATTTAAGCCTTACTGTGAATCTCAACTCTTAGGCATAAACTTTATAGGCATTATAGAACAGATCAGCACCAAAATGTTGAGGCACAACTTAGACAAATTACAGGACCGATAATATGATTGGATAACTTAGAGACATCCTAAGGGCTGAAGAGGACTGCGTTAGCTTATATTCAACCAAAAAATCGCCGAAACGTACCCAAAGTGTCTGCAGGACGCCAGAAATCACTTCTACTTTTGTTAATTAATTAACACATGAATATGTTCAAAGCGAGTAGTTTCTTCCGGTTTCAGGGGCAAAAGAGTTACGGCATACTGAAGAGAGAGGGATGGTTGCCCAAAGTCTTACCCATGGCGTCTGCACTGCATCCTATAGGGTGTGTCCCAACGTGTCTGCATGCACACCTGCGTAAATCTCGAAATAGACGATTCGAAAAATTTGACACAAATTAACAATAAAATGAAATAATCAATCTAGGTTTTATTCATACAAAAGTAAAATGTTTTGAATAATGAAAACTGGTATTATTTCTGTACGTTAACGCACAATTGTCTTACCTCTGCCCTAAAATTATTCTCCGAAAATCTTTAGAACAACTGAAACCTCGGCTGTAGTCCGTCTGTTTTATGTCCTCGCTTACAGAATATAAACTACTCCTACGAAATTGGAACAAACGGAAAATCCTGTCCTCAAACGCCATTCCGACAGTAGGTTGCCAGGTGCAAAACAGATACAAACAATTCAACTTACAACACCCGAATCACTTAAACAACTGGCTGAAATTAGGCTGGACTTATCCGGCATGTTGGTTGAAATTTCGCTCGGCAAATTTGTTTTGTCAATAATTTTTAATAAAATTTTGTTATATGTTTTCTGGATTGATATGAATTCTCACTTCCTGGCTAGTTATGTTGGTGTTCGCGTCATTTAATCTGACTGCGACACACTTAGCATATTGGTTGTAATGATTAGTGTTTCATGCTGAATGCGTCAAAACATCTCTACAATGAAGAAGATGGGGTAGTTGGGGGGTAATGTCATCTACACAAATAGTTTATTTCTTGTAGAAGCTGCAGCTTTCGACATAGTGTCATTCAATGAAGACTACGTCAAAATGTGGCTATTTTCGTGTGAAGAACAGTACTATTTTACAAAAGAATGCTATCACTACATGGGAATCACCTATAAATGCCAATAGAACGTAAAACCAATGTGTAAACGAACGGCTACGGAACTGCAATCCAACATAACCGACTAACATAGACAAAAATGACCTTTGAGCGTCTCACTCCATCGATGACCTTGAGCATGCGGGATAATTTCAGCCCTGAAATTATCCAACATGTTGGTGAAAATTTCGACCGGCGAACCATTTCTGTAGATGTTTTTTACTAATATTGTTTTTCTTGTTGTCTGAATATATGTGAACTCTGATTTTCGGACATGGCATAGAGGCATGAGTGTTATGTGGTCTGAGTGCGACACACTCTTTTCATGTTGTTTACGAGGATTTGGGTCTCAGGTGAACTGCGTTGAGATGTTGATATGGTGAGCAGGATGGAATAATTGGAGGATATAATCATCTACCTGAATAGTGCACTTCTTGGCATAGTATCATTTTTATGTAGACTCCACATATCTTGGGATATCCTTACAATTCATTTTCATCGAAAGCAGAGTATTATTTGACAGGTGAGTGTTGAGGGACATATGAAAATCATCTGAAAATGTTAACAGAGACTTTTGTGAAGATAGGAGTTATGACGTTAAATCATTATATCACCGTTTGTAAGTAGGGACAGAAAATATTGCAGGTTGAAACGTGGATTTTATATATGAGTGCACTAATTAGTGTGAATTAATATGAATTGCATGGATTCAATGCACAGAGAATTTTCTGAAATTTGTTAATGTTTGTGATGTTTTCTGCCTATTTGATTGCTGAACCAACAAATACAGTTGATCCTCATGATTGTTGGAAGTGCGATGAAGTGAAAAGGGTGACAACTCGATTAATTTGCGGCAATATATTACTTACTGTATTAACTCAGTACCTCATTTTACTATGTACACGTATTCTATTCATTCCGAAAACTTAGTTTAGTAAGCCTTATTTTTTCATTCTACTGTCTGTCATACCGTTTTCACTGAAAATGTCTACATAATGTCTGTGATTTAGTGTTTCTGATCACCGGTAATGAAGATGAATTAGTCCTGAATTTCTTTTCACATTAAGCAGAGCAGATGTAGCATCACAACTGAATATCTAGCCTGCATTGTGTGGCAGGGGATATGCCCCTACAGTCCTGTAGTATTAGAAAGCATGTGAGGTCACTCTATGCTTGTTGCATCAGTGTGAAAATCATATCGGTGACAGACTGTTGAAGGACTGAAAGATTATTGTTACATTAAGCAGATCGTATAAGATAAATATAGTGCAATCTTTAAAATACGGAGTTACCAGGCATCCATACTTCAAGATCGGGTGAGGATAAACGTTATCGCGTTTTAAATTTACCGCGATTCAGGTTTTCTCGTCTTTCATTGGCTAGAGCAGTGGCGGTCAATTTGATTTTTGATTCGTCCTAGGTAGGTGCTATCGTTTGCGACTTTGTGTGGTTGTGTTATGCGTGGTTTGCAAGCAACTGTGATGACAATAAATATAACATTTGACTATTCTAACGTTGTACCACTGTGTTTTATACAGATACAATGCCCTTTTTATTAGAAAGTCCCTTGAAACTGGTTAGCCATTGTGTTGGTTATCAGTGACTACTATCCCGTGGGTCCCAACGCATTTCTTGAGTTTTGGTTATACGTACAGTGTTTTCAACTTCGATATTTCTCACTAACATAGTCTGGTATCCTGTGTTTTTTGCGAATTAACTGTGACAAGCTGTGGCAGTAATGTTCTTCGCTAACGAGCCCTTTTTATAGAATTTCATCGCAGGTAATTAGTGTGAGCGGAAGCAGCACATATGTAAGAAGCCGCGGACGCATTACAAGACTCGCAAAAGGCGAGGAACTTATATATTGCTAACAGTTACAACCTTTTTCACATACCAGTTTGTGGCTACGTTCACATGCAGAGGAAAAATCGGCGAGTGAGACATTGTATAGTAGGGAGACAACTTTGCGGAAGTTTCATCTAGCCTATGTGTTTCGCTCTAATATTTTTGTCCCTCAGACCACTGAGAAAGTGTCAATAATAATAATTTACATTTCGTATAAACAGGTAAGTTTACATGAAATGCATGCCATTTTTACAGGCACGATCAATTATGTTAAGAATTATAATTGTGAATTAGCATACATTATCAATTTTTCAAAAGTTCAAATTTTTGAATTATAGTACAAGCATCGGAACAGATTCTTATAATTGATTATTTGTAAATCTTTCACGAAGGTCTCCATCGAAGTTGAGCGACGACCAATACTTCGTTCCATTTCCTGATGATAGTAATGGCCTATCGATAAAAAACATATATTTGAGTGAGTACTGTGACTCCACGTGCTTGATGCTCTTTCAGCA